TAAATTGCAATGATAATAATTTTGAATTATATAATGAAGTGCCAAAGTTATAATAATTTATAGCGCGAAAAATTCGGACCGAATCGGAACCATTAATTTCACCGACGAAGGTTTTATGAAATAATTCATAGACGTTTTGCTCGTATATTAATATGTCATCAATTTTAACCGATTTGAAAATATACGATTTCAATATCAAAATCAATTAAAAAAACAACTAAATTACCTATAATACGCCACGATGAATAATAAAAAAAAATAAATAAATAAATGTATCACAACTTTAACTAAAAAATAGCTCTCAAATATTTCACAGTGTGATATAATTTGAACTGAAAACATACGCAATTTATACTCATAATATACAATTCAAACTTTATTCAAAAATGGTTAATATTTAAAGTTTACCGAGTGAAATTTAAGTTATCGTAAATTCCATTCATTAGTTTAACATATTTTAGAAAAAAATTTAAAGAGCTCATTGATTTGTAGATCCTTATTATTACATCATTTCTAAGAGTTTAAAGAATTTTGCAGAACTCTCAGATATTTCATCAAAGCACGCGAAAAAGAGGTTATGTAATAATAAACAGAATTCCGGAACCATACTTTTAACGTTATTTTTATTTTATTATTTTCACTCGAGCAGAGATAAATTATTTTGCGTATGAAAATCGTTAAACCCAAAACAAAAACCTGGTTGACATTGGACTCTCATTTGAAAAACATAATTATACAGGGTGCCCTACAATGTTATCGTTATGCTAATAACTATGTCAATATTCATTTTTATTTTACATTTTATTTTTTAAATTGTGTTTTAAGCGAGGGAACACATTTGTAGAAACAAATCAATTTTTGTTTCTCACCCATTAATCACAGAAAAAAATACCGTAAAATAAATAAATCTAAACATTACAATGTATCAAACATTTATTTCCAATAATAAACAGTATCTTGTTATAGTAGATTTAATGTATGTAGAAAATAAGCATGACAAAATTAATACTCATTGGAAGATAAGGAATTACCCCATCTGAAAGTTAATGCCCCTAAAACGTACATCCTTCATAATTATATGTCATCCATACTCGAAAATTTATTCCCCTGATTTCCATTATCACTCCTCCCTAAATCCGATGTGGCAAATTATACAATTTTCAATTTAAATTTATCGAAACCTTTCGTTGATTTAACCAATAATTAAACGATGCATACAGATATATATAAATTAAATTACCATACACACAATTTGTACAATAATCTACAATACCTAGTAATGAATTGTGTACGAAGTATGTCAGCTATTAGACTCTGAGTGTAGCGAAGAATGTATTGGTTTTACAAAGATGTTTATTTATTTTTTTTATACTGTTTGCTAAAGGAATTTTCCTCTAATTTATACAATGTAAACCTTTTTCTGAAAAGAAATTTTCTTGGGGTGATACTTTAGAGAGATGATTTTTTGATTTTCCCGGCAGTTTTACCAATTAAAGAAAAAAAAATGAAAAAAAAAACAGGAAAATGTACAAAATTTATTAGTAAAATATTATGATTTTTTTTTTTTTTTTGTGAGCAATTTTGCTGCGATTTACAATAATAGCACTTTTTCTGAAAGGAAATCCGGCGGAGAAGGTTAAAATTAAAGGAGGTTATTTTTTTATTTTTCCAACAGTTTTTCCAGTTAATGTGAAATACCGGAAAAAAACATGGAAAAAATCGGACAAAACGTAGAAGAATCGGGAAAAATAAATACAATATTAAACAAATATTATTAAAAAAAATATATAATGCTTATTAAATATTTTACCATGATGTGACACATATATTGTTGACAAAGCATCACTACCAACTAAACTCCGCTCAGAATCGTTTTTAGTATGCAATGACTTATCGTTGCTTACAGGTACCAATTTGTATCTGTTTCCCCATCCTACTTTTTCAACTTCTCACTAATAACAATGGCTGCACCCACCGTGCAAAATATATCCGTATTTTTTTTCAATGCATATTTCTTTTAATTAATTTGACAATAATAATTTTAGCAATCGCATAAATAAATAAAATATGTAGGTATACGTCAAATTTTAATGATTTCAACAAATATCGTTTTCATCGGGAAATATTTAAATAATATTATTTAATTTTAAGGTACGTTGAAACTTTCTGTAATCTGTGTCCCGTACATATCTATATATGGATTCAAACGGAATCATTACGAAAACTTCTTTGAACATTTTTCTGTTTGTATTATTTATTTTTAGTATTTTATGCATATAAGAGCGTACTTCATGGCAACAGGACCCGAGATAATTCGATGGAACAACGACGGCTGAAAAAAAAGTCATTATAATCCGTTTTCGGTTTTTTTTCATCTTCACATAATAATATTCCGTGCTCTCTCTGTAATGTCGTATTTATCCGACGAAGACGCCGACGACGGTCAAATCGAAAATCAACGTCGTCGTCGATTTCCCCGGTCTTTCCCCTCGCATTCTCGACGCATATACCTATAATACTGGACTACTAGAAAATAATAATAAGCACGTATAAAAATGATTATACCGATTTCAAATTCAGTGTTTCGAAATTGAATTATATGCACGCGGAGAGTCGTATAACGGTGGCGGCGGTGCCTGCGAAATGATGTGACCCGGAGGTAAAAAAAAAAAAAACCCGAAGAAATGCTCGCGTAAAAATATCAAGAGAAAAAAATAAACACTTTATATCCACCTTAGAAGAGTTGTATATATTTATATATTTTTTTTTTATTGATGTTATTTTCATGCCAGTATCTACGATTTTCGCTTTTCGTTCTCTTATATTACATTATACGTATATAACTCTGTAATGTCTTTATTCGAACACGGAAAAAAAAAAAATAAAAACAAAGTTACTACGAAATATAATTTAATATTTTTCTCGTAATATACGATGATGGGATTTTAGTTTATAATCGAAGAACAAAAAATTCGTACTTTATGGTCTGTGATGGTTGTTTTATTTAACAAATTTTTGTTTAGTTTAACAATAAATATCAATTCGCAGTTATAATTGCGGCCGTTTTGTATTACATCCTCCTTGTGCAAGATAATATTGATGTAAATATAATAGGCCATGATACATAATTGCAAAATTCATTCTGAGTGAAGTCCGTGATACATTTTAGATTCTGAGCGAAGCGAACAAAAATATGTATTGATTCTACTATGACATATTTTGATACGTCTGTATCAACTTGTCGACCAATAAGTTTGCTCCAATTGAAAACTTTATAATAATTTTCTTAAAGTATTTTTTTATATTATAATTGGTGCGTTGCTTTACTACGTGGTGAAAAATGCCGGAAATGTTTGGTCGGTTAAAAATGTATTCATTAATCACTTATAAATATACAAAACATTAAAATTATTACTGTTCGCAGATTTAACCAAATATATTATACATTTGAACTTGAAACGACAAAGGAAATAAATTATGTTAATGAGCTTCAAAAAAATATAATCGACATAAACCAGAAGTTGTTGTTTGATATGAATATTCTTGTTTTTCTAAGTTTTTTCCCGGGTTTTAATATGAAAATTACCTGCAAAATAAAAAAATTAATAATAACTAATGTCAACAATCTATTTGCTTTTTTTGAAATTTCCCCGCGTAAATATTCAATCCATTATTTATAAAAAATAATACCAAACATTAAATTGCGAAATGCATATTTATTTACATTGACTTTTTTAAATTAGCACTGTACGTTCTTTTAGATTCAAAGCGTAGCTAAATATCCACCTATTGGCTTTACTATGATGTGTACTTTTTATTTTTAATATTTTTTTTTTTGTGTTTGCGAACAAATTTTCTACCAGAAATATTATTCAGGTTGAAAAATAACAAGATTTTGATTTCAATTTTTTTAATATATAGTCACTGAAAGAAAAAGTCGTTTTTTGATATCCAAAGTACTTTTCACATTCATAAAGAAAATCCAAAAAATACAAAAAATAAAATTTTTTTTCAAATTACGGCGCAACGATTTCAGTATTTAAAATTTGTACGATTTATGTTTTCTATCATAAATATTGCTCCACCAGAAAAACGACAAAATTCCTTTATAGTTGAATTTTTAATCTTGTTAAATTAATTTTTTTGTTTTTATTTTTTTTTTTTATTAATAAATTGGAAAAAATATAGAAAGACCTGGAAAATCTACGATAATTATTCTTTTATTATTTTAAATTTCATTTGTTTTAATGTTATTAAGTTAAAAATATTCGTAGAAAATTGAAATAATGATAGAAATCTTAAATGTATTTATTTAAACACGAGGTTCATTATAAGTCGTAATGAGTGGTAAAAAAAAAATAATTGAGTATTATGTTCTTTTTTTTTTTATGAGAATTTTATTATCAAATTTTTATGGAAACCGTAAATATTACGGCCCTTCAAAATTTGCATAACTACAGTTTTTCGTTAGCTATGGTTTATCGTTGCGTACAGATGTAAATCAAACAACTTTATGTATTTCACCTTCTTAACTACCTACCTACAACAGTAACCGATCCATACCCAGTATCAACGCTTCTTTTCTTTTTTTTTTTTTGACGTTATGCAATTTAGTAAATTAAACAGATTTCGCTTGAAAAGATTTCGGAACATTTTACCGGTTTATAATTATTTAACTTTTTAAAATACTAAAATCGCATCGGTTGTTGAAAGCGGTTTTAAAATATTTTTTTGCGTGATAATATCAGCGGCCAAATATAAAAATTCTTATCAATCAGTGTAAAATATAACGTGTCATAGTGCCGTTCTGACAGTGTACCGCAAAGTCATACTATTAATACTAGTAATAATAATAGTAGGTTCCCTCGGTGGATCGTCAACCATAATCTTTAGCGTTTTGTTAAAATAACCTATGATAATGTTTGTATCCCAACAAAGTTGACTGAAATTACGTTTAATAAATTCTAAAAAGAGTATTAAAAAAATAGATGATACTGGGAATGGGTGTGGCCACTGTTGTAGGTGAGAATTTGGGATGGTAGAATACATAAGTTTATTTCATTTATATCTATAAGAAACGAAATACCATTGCTCGACGAAAGACGATTCCGAGCGCACTTCGGTAATACATAATTTAAAGTGCAGTATTTTTTTTTTTGCGATTTTCATTTAAATTTGAGTTCAAAATGCCTATTAAAAAAAAAAAGTCGTCCGATGATTTTAAAAATTTTACAACGTTTAGGAAAGTTCAATATAAGTATTATTACCAAGTTTCAAGTGTTAACGTGTATTTATAACCGAGTTGCAGCGAAAAAAATCCCAAAAATTAAAATTCCTTTAAAGCTCAAAAGTAGCTTAAAAGTTTTGGCAATGATACCTTAAGAAAGTAAATTAAAAAGGCAATAAATAGATGGCTTGTGATTTTTCGATTAAATCATTTTTTCTGGTAGAAAACGTCATCCGTGTTTTTATAAAATAATAAAATCGTGAAATTGTACGTTTTTACCCGCTTAAAGGATTTTATTTAAAAAAACTGCGTCAAAAATCAAAATATGACCATATAGACAACTTGGGCTTTTAAAAAAGTTGCTACACGTAAAAATCAGAGCATATTTAATAGGTTAATTTACATCTTAGTAAAACCAATAGTTCCCTCGCTAAGCTCGGAATCTAAAAATCGATATAATCGATTAATTAAAAAAAAATTAGTACTTTTTTTTTAGCATTTACGAATAAAATTATGTACTTTATAACACAACTTTACGAGTTACTGTTAATCGATTTGAATTGATTTCCTAGACAAATAAATAAATTATTAGATAATAAATTAATTCATAACAAGTTTTTTTTTAATTTTTTTAATTGTATTATTTGAACACACACCCACTATACGTTTAAAGTCCAAGTTTGAATGCAATATATTTTTATTTCGCAATCAATAGGTGTACGCTACTAACGTAAATTTAAATTCGACTCGTACAGAGTATAAAGTTCTTTTCGGTCGTAAACGTAAGAGAAGAAACCATAGGAATACCAATTGTAACGAAGCACGGAGTTTTTGGTGTGGGAAAAGCGTTAGGCGAGGAAAGAAAAAACAATAATAACGACTTGTTCGTCGGGAAAACTGAAGTGAACTTATTCCTTTGCGCTGTATAATAGTAATAATAATAAAAACGAAATAAAATAAAAACAACTTTAAGGAAATCGAACACGGTTGATCGAAAACCAATTTGGATGCAAAAAAGACTCTGGCAAATTTTAATACACATAAAACAGACAAGGTTTTTTCTTGGTATATTCGTCAAAGTTTATAGGTATTAAAACCATTCTTCAATTTTTTTTTTTTGCTGCTAACTAAAATCGGTGGCGTAGCTAAAAATCATCGTCAAGTGAGAGTTACAAAAAAGAAAAGAACAAAATATCTGTCTTGAATACTCACGTGTATAATAATTTGACCTTTGAGTAATATTTATAAAATATTAAAAATACCTAGTAGATGCATGTGTGTATTATAATAATATAGTCAAGTCGTTTAAATTTAATATAATTATAAGATTAAAAAAAAAAAAAAAAAAACATTCACACACCCGTAAGCCAAAAGCACCGTCATTCGAATACAATAATTGTATTCGCAATTATCTCCTTCTCGTCTTTTGTATTATTGACATTTATTTTATAAAAAAAAAATAGATAACTGAATAAATCATCGGTATATACTATTACAATAATTAATTAAAACTATTATAAATTAATAATATTATTAGATAATCTGTTTTAATTAATAATATTCTTGTACCGTTATGAATATTGTCAAGTAAAATAATTTTATTTTTGAAATGTTAAGGAACGCCAAAGTTCGGTGAAGATCTGAATAATGTAACGGTGTCAGTCGGTCGAGAAGCAGTATTCATATGCAATGTCGAAAAGCTGGCCACTTACAAGGTATTTAAAAATAAAAGTGTATTATATTATACAATGTATATAAGATATTAACAACGAAATAATAATCAACCATGAGCATGGTTTTACGGTAAAATTACTCGTGTGCCATTATTTATGATTTTCGATTGTATTCAAATAAATATATTAACATTTTGGTTTTAACAATTGGTATACACATAAAAACGAAGTTTAAAAAAGTTGAAATATTGGCGCTCTGATGATTTTAATGGAATTTAAAAATATTAAAATCTAGACGTCAGAATTTTCCCTGCAAAATGGTTTTTACGCTAATATTTTTTCAATATAATTTTACAATAGGTAGTACTTTTATTTATTTTTTTTGAATTTCGTAATCGTTTTTTATTTTAGTCTTATTATTGTAACCTATTTATTTAAACTAACTTCCCGAAGACAAAAAATTTTGAAATTGTACATATATCGACGTTAAACGAGTGACAATATCACTTCTTCCTTCCAGAGAGATTCTATGATTTGCGACAAAAAAGAAAACGATAGAAATCATTTTATTAGAATCTGTGTTGGTTCAATAAAATTTCAAAAAAAAAAAAAAAAAAAAAAAACTATCGATTTACTCGAAATTTTCGTAATGATGATCGCTAAATTACGATAAACAAAAAAAAAAAACCCTGTATAGTGTTATACTAGCCGAATTACTCGGCTTCGCCCGTGTGTAGTTTTTACTCTGTCTAAATAAAATTCTTAAATACAACACTTATTGTTGTTTTTTAAAGAAGAAAAAATGTATTTTACTTAATTTATCATTACTAAATAGTAGTTGTATCTGAAAAACAAATAAAAAATAATAATAATATTTAAAAATGGTTCTAACGATTCTATACACATATGACATATTATTATTAAAAATTATTCTATACTGAGTTACTCAATTTTAAAATGAATTAAGTCAAAGCGTCTTGGTATATCACATTCAGAGTTTTATTTTGTGGTGCATACACGTATAAATGGTCAGGTCTTCTAACTCTAGAAAATGCTACATACATTTGTCCTTGTTAAAAACAGTTATTTTCCAAATCTACACCACAAAAAGTTTAAATCTCACCTTGCGCTTTATTTATTGTCATTGCAAAACAAACTTTTATTGGAAACTGAACTTATCTGAACTAAACTGGAAAACCGTTAGGGCACAATGGTATTTTCAGTAAAAACATTTTTTTTCTCTTAGGATATCAGGTTAAAATTTCAGCTTCAATTACATTTTTTTGTAAGAGAGATGTTACGGAGCATAGTCCCATTGTATAACCTAGGAGAATTCAAATTTCACGTTTAAGTATTGTCCGCATACTGGCCCTTAGAGTTTTATTTTTAGTTCTATTTATTGAAATTTTCAGCTATTGTTTAATTACGACAGAGTGCGTAAACGATTGAAATGAAATTGTAAACAATAGATTACTTATAGGAGTATTTTGTAAAACTTTGTAAAAAAACAAAAATCGTTGAATTATTTAAACGACACGCTAGAAAATCGTAACCTTTATATACACCCCCCTTTCCCTCCCCTCGGACAAAAAAAAAAAAATTAAAAATCGAGTACCATGGTGATATTTTAGAGAGTACTTGGAACAACTCAGAGAAAAAAAAAATTGGAAAAAAGTTAAATAGTGCTGTCTCAAAACTGGAACACATAAAAGGCCTGTTCTTTTATATATATAAGGATTATAATAACTGTACTTAATTTGTAATAGGTTGCTTGGCTACGGGTGGACACTCAAACTATTTTGACCATTCATAGCCACGTGATAACGAAAAATCATCGGATTGCGGTTACCCACACCGATCACCGAATATGGTTCCTCCATATCCGGGAAGTGAGAGAAGCCGACAGGGGTTGGTACATGTGCCAAATCAATACGGATCCGATGAAGAGCCAACAGGGTTACCTGCAAGTTGTCGGTATGTATATAATATTATATTTATATTATAATAGTATAATAAAGAGTGAAAAATGCGATTTAACTGTTTAAAACCTATTATACATTATTATAACTCGTTATAAAAAGTTTTGAAGGGTTTTATACGAACGTGCTAATCGAAGCAAATAGGACTCGCGAAAGTTCCTACGGCACAAACGTAATCAAAAAACTTTTAATTTTAAATTAAAACTTTTTTTTAAATCACTCGACCAGAACATTATTGCAATATACTAATATACTACAAACCAGAGAAGATTTAGATTTACATTTGAAAAAAAAAATTTTCTGTATCTGTTCCGAAATCGGTTATCAACCGCGTTTATCGGCTCGGAAAACGAAATCATTAAAAATAGTAGAATATTTTTTATTTATTTTTGATTTTAATAATATTTTTATTATTTTCTTCAAATATTTGAATAATTTTTAAGACCTAGGTGTGACGTATTAAAACTAAGCATTTCCAGTAGTTGTATTATAACAATTACAAGTATAATTTTTAAAATTGTTCAAATAATTTTTTGATTTAGTGTAATGCAACCTTTGCATACTTAAATTTAAAATTTGTATTAAAATAATAACAAAATATAATAATATCATTGATACATATTATTGACATTTTTTTTTTTTTCGCAATATTTTGTTTAAATACGTTGGAATAGTAAAAAAATTACACTAAATACAATTTCAATATATTTAAAGTATGACGATTTTAACGGTTTACAATAGATATTTGATATATTTAAGTTGGCCTTTGCTACATTATAATGCTCGATTTTACTTTGTAAAATGTGCCATTACATTATTACGAAAAATATGGAGAGTTGTTCATAAAAATGTATTTTTCAGAACTAATCTAAAAACACACCACACCATTAACAATCGTCAGTTCGTAAGTTTGCCCCTCGTTAACGTTCAAAAATACTTTTTAAATTTTAGGGAATTTCGGACTGCGTTTTTGTTATTCCTGAAAATTGTTTCTGATGACGCAGCTATTAACTAAAACTACTAAAACTTGAATTCACGAAGGCGCGCATTTATGATTTTAGAACATAATAATAAAACGGACCGATATTTTGACAAGACATACTCGTAGAATAAAATTATATAATTACGTACTGAACATATTGCTTGATTATTTTAAAAATATTTTTTCGTTTTGTGAAACTTCAATAGTTTAAATTAATGCCAACACTTCAATTTGAAGTATTTTAGTATGAATTATTAACAAACATGCCTTTATTTTATGGTCATTATTAATAAGTATCTAAGTAACCCTGTGCTTAGGTCAATAATGTCCACAGTTTTTAACTATTGTATTAAATTTAATCAAAAAGTTTTAAAAAGATTACAATATTCCCTCTATACTTAAATACTGTATAGGAAACGTATATTATGTAGTCGTAGTGATGGAAAATAAAAAATGAAAATCTTCTAGTAGTTTTCGATGTTATAGAAGTTATCAATAAAAACGTAAATACCTATATGGTTTAATAATAAAATACGATTTAATCATAAAACAAATAAATTCTTTTGAAAGTCAATGTTATTAAAAAAAATGTGTAAATATTTTGATAGCAGAAGTATTGAAATATTTATTTATCAAAAAAAAAAAAAAATTATTTCTGAAAACTTCATTATAATAATATGTCTAGTAACACGAATTCCGTACAAAAATTAGATCGTGATAAAAGTTTGAACAATAATATTTTATTTAAAGAAGATTCAGAACAATGTGGCTTTAATAAGGAATCCGTTGAGTTCTTTTAATTAAACGAACCTCGTCGGGTTTTTTTTTTTTTACTTTTCATCAGTCGTAGCGAGCAATGCAGTCCCCAACGCAGTCGGCATGAATTGTTTTATATTATTTCGAGAGACTAATTTGCTCTATACAATATTTCAGTGATACAAAAACGATTATTTATACCGTAGTCGTATTATTATGTATAACATTTATACAATAATATGTATTTTTTTTTTTTTTCTATTAACAACTTTTCTTTCAGATATTTTTTGTCACCCTTTTTTTGGGGATGCTACGAATTGATAACTAATATTGATTTTTAAATGATAAACTATTACTATTTCGTAATCAAATTGAGTATTTTATGTAATTTAAATACATTTTGATTTTAGAATTATTGATTTCTTATCTGTTGACGAGTTTATACTCCACTTTTCAGGTTGGATAGGGAAAGAGTAATGGAGCACTATTTAAACCCTTCGCGCCATATCACTACACAAAGGATGCTCCTTTATTTTTCCCCTACCTAAATTTAAAGTAAAATATCTTGTTAATAGGATGACATATATCAATAATTTCCACATCAAAATGTATTTTATCTGATAATTAATGTATTTTTGGTATTTTTAATGAAGTTTAAATTTGTTAATATAAAAAATTCAGTAAGACATAATACATTCTGAGATAATGAATTTCTTATGGAGAAATGATCATGTCATTTGAATACTTGATAAGCATTATTTAATCTGAATTGGTATTCAAAGAAAAAAAAGATAGATCTAGACATCTTAGAATAATGGGGATGGGTGCAACCACTGTTATAGATAATTTAATGTATACCTGTAAGCAAGGATAAACCATTGCTTATAATATTTAATTGGTTATATTGAAAATAAAATTATTTGTGTTAATTCACCGTCAATCGGACAAGTGTTGAATGTTTTATTTTATAAATTACGTTATGTTCGTGAAAAGCTAAACGATATAATATATGTAACTTTAGAATTTATCGAAAATTGTTTAAAAAATCTCAAATAAGAGAAGAAAATCGGGAACTTTTGGGGCTTATTGTAATATTCTTATGTCGTGTAAAGAAATTACATGAGGAATCGTGGAATATTTTTCAGAGTTCCAGGAGCTTTTCACAAATCTAGATGAATAACTAATGCCCTTTATAGTTAAACAATTTTTATTTTTTAAAACCGATTTAAAATTAAAAATAAAGATTTAGATTAATTTCGTAATATTTGCATCTTTCTTTCAAAGTAAAAGCTTGGATGAATTCCCCAAATGCAGTTGAAGCTTCATTTTTAGACTTTCAATTTCTTAAAAGTCTTTACTTGTACAAGGACATCAACGAATGTATAATTTGTACTATTCAAAAATGTATTAACCATTTATGGTATTTATCTCCTGAAAATGCATTATTGGCATTTTTGTATAAAAGTGTACAAAAAAAAATAAAAATATTTTTTGTATTAAAACGTAATAAGTCTAAAGATTCATTGGAAAAAATTTGTTTACTCCTGCAAGATGTTAAAACATTTATTAAATCTAAATTGGGGAGACACGTACGAGTTTTACGAATAAACCTTAAGAAGGAACAGGGGTTATGAAGGAAGGTAGACTTAGTACGGAAACAGAAATCGCGGTAGCATTATTTTAAAAGGAATTAATAGCTTGCATGACAAAGTGAAAAGGAACGATGAAGAGATAGGAAACTGGCTTATACTTATAAGCCTTATTACGTCTTATACTTTGCGTAAGTCTGATTTTTTGATACATGAGGACTATGAGCTTGCGAGAGAACCATACAAAAAAGTGGTTTGTGAATTATAATTTTGGTAACATAAGAGAGAATTAAGAAATGGATGTTCAGGAAGACAGCCATTTCATCGTTAAGAGAATAAGGGAAGAATATTTTTTCCCAATTAAAAGAGTTGAGAAAATACAAGATCGATTGATAATCTGATTTATAAAAGTTAACAAATGAAGGTGGAAGGAGAGGTGGGGTTATGATCTTTTTGAAATAAATTGAGAAGGGGGTGAGTGATACGGATCAGCTGAAGCAGTGAACTCGAGAGCAGGGCAAATAGTAAGTACGTTTGAATTAGTGAATATCAAGTCATGGAGTGAACCGTAGGGCTTAATAATATTATTAAGATGGGAGAAACCATGAAAAAAAAAGTCAGCAGCTTAGCCAACAGAATTTCTAGGTAAGGGTTCGATGATATAAAGGAAACCCGCTGGAAATGTCCGGGAAGATACGACTTTGTTAATGCATTTGAGTACGTTCCCGTTAAATTGAATTGTGAATGAATATAAATTGTAATTAGCTGTATATAAATTGATTATTTTATTTTGAATACAAATTTGAGAATTCTACAAAACTTAGAGGCAAACAGCTCTTAAGTATTATCACTTAATATACCCCTCATTTTAATATTATTATTGAAGTAAATAATAACGTTTTTTAATTATTATTATGTTAATCGCTGCATAAAAATCTTAATTCGATAATCTCCCCGTCGAGAAGGAATTTCAAGTTATACATTTTTCACAACGTTAATAATCATAACGTTTCATATGGAAGCCATTGTGAAATTATACACGACTTCATGTCTCCAGCGACTGGTATATGAAAGAAAATAAAATAATAATATTGAATATTTTAAGTAAATACTTACAAATTAAGTCGTTGTTAGTCGATTATAATGGATTTAACATCTAAATAATTGTCTGTAATAAAAATAAAAATAAAAGTTTTTATATATCAAAAAATTATGTTTTTAATAAATTTATATAGCACGCTATAATGTTATGTGTACTACAAACTACATTGGCTCTCTTTATGTTTGGTTGCTATAAACCTAATAATATTAATGTTTGGATTATATCAGAAATTTTAGGTAAACGTTGTTTGATGTTTTCTTCGGCCAATTTGTTTAGGGAAATGATTTTTTGGTTGTAAATGTTAACGAAATCTTTGTTACTCTGTAACTGCGATTGAGTTTTAAGATAATAAATTTAAGGACTCATTTGTGTAGGTATCAAATATTTGGTACAGATTAGGAATGGTGATTAAAATTATGAATGAATAAGTACGTAAAAACTATGTCCGTGTATATGTAAATGAAAAATGTGTACTCAAGTATACTCAATACACACAAATTTACTATCCGTGTCTAGTGTTTATTGTTGTTCACGTAAATACTCAGTTCAAATATTGGAATATACTTGTACACTCTTTTATAGGTTCGAATATTATTTTCACGTGAAAGTATGTAGATATAGCTAGAGAGCTTTAGTACATAATAATATTATACGGGCTGGCCGCTGACGTATAACACATGAATTACACATCATTCACTATTTATTCACACCTTAATATTTACTCTTGTTAAATATTATACAATATTAAATATTATGAACTTTTAAAATATCTCACTTATATGAGTTTTATTTCTTAATCCAATACTTTGGGACGACTACACAATTAATTTGTATTGGCTGATTAAAGCGCAATAAAAAGTTATTAATAAACCATCGACAATAAATTAATAGATTATGTGCTAATAAAAATAGTATCATAAATTCTAATACGTAAAAAAAAACATAATATTGTGTGTCATTTTACAGGAAATGGAAAATTAATAACATTTAGTCTGTGCCAATTTTTAGCATTTTCGGTAGACATTAATGAATTGAGTACCCAAGGTATAAATACCCACTGAAAAAGTACTATGGCGGTCAATTTAAAAAATTAATTTGTAGATCGTATTGTTTTTGCACGGTATTTGTACAGTATATCAAAGTTTGAAATGCATATTTTACTCCTCAAAAATTGAATTTCTTAACTGCAAATAAATCCATAACTTCGATTTTATATTTTAATACTATAATTAATATTAACGGGATGAAGCAATTCGTAAACATAATGTATCTAGTGAGAAAATAATTAATGTAACTATACGTATTTTTCACATTCACAAAAAACTTATTATACTAAAAAAGTCACAATTTGTGTAAAAACAGTTATCGACACATTACGTATCAAGTAAACGTTCCATTTGTTTATATTTAAGCTGTGAGGATTGAATAGGTAGATGGATACGAAACAATTTTAGTAATTTTAAGTTTATTACTAATCTCTCATCATTAAACCTTTCCATTCGATAGCTGTTGATATCTGTAAAAATATGCGCTCTTTAGTGTTATTATCTATTTAGAGATATTATCCAAAGTTTTTTAGGGCATATTATCGGCATGTCATATTATTCCAATAATTATCAAAATTCGAATAAAAATAGTCATTTTGTTTTCATCAGATATTTTTCCCATACATTTAAAGATTTTGTAAATTTAATTCATTTGGTAAGATATTACTGCTTATAACAGAACATGCTTATTCCAGATTCATTTTATCGAAAAGCGTGTAATAAGGAATTTAACCTAGTCGTATATTAATACTGGCCGCTGATAATGCCTTTTTAGAAAAGTCTGGGGCTACCAGTCGTGAACACCTTCATGCCAGACTATTTCAAGAAATTATCTAATGGTTTAAATATCATATTATGTATATTTTTATGTGATATATTAGATTATAGTTTTTTTTTATAAATATATGCAATTATTTATTTAATCGTTGAATATATAAATTTTAGTTTGCATATGCAAATTTGTTTACAGTATATCTTTTTATTTGCATTATATACTTTATTGTTTTTATATTGTTAAATATTTTTCTAAGTAATCGATACAAATCGATCAGATATATTAACATATTAAGCAGCAATAATAATATGAAATGTGTAAATCGGACAAATAGCTTGAGATTTATTTGGTCAACAACAGCTGATTTTTAATCATTGACTATGACTTTTTCGTAAAAATAACAAAATTGTATACCTACTTATATATTATTCCCTTTAGTGCAAAGTAGCGTGAAGATGGACTATTGAACATTGAATATTTATTGACGGTAAATATATTAGATAGGTATATTTTCTTAAGTTCCAAAAATAAATAATATACACCATACCTGTATATACTGTATAATATACATTATACACATTACAATTTCCATTTAGTTTTGTACAGTAGTTCTTAAAAAGTTTCGAGATAGTATCATCAAGTAAACAAAAAAAGAAGCGAAAATAATGTGAAAAAATATCTCATTTGAATATGAAGTCATCGATTTATTAGATTAGAATTCGATTAGAATTCCAATGAGATATTTAAAAAAAAAAAAAAACACTCAAAATCCTCTCCACTACTCTATATTAGGAATATATATGATCTATAAAAGCGAAACAAACATCGACTAATTACGACTGTTACATGTGATAATTCCAAAAAAAAAATAAATAAAATCGCTGAAAATATAAAATATAGTAAAAATCAACAATTTATGATGAGGGAAATAATATTTAACAACAGGAGCAAACACCTTGGATCTAGAAATGTTCGATTTTAATATTTACCATAGAAATTATTTTTAAAACGGTTTTTATTCGTGTAGAACGTTGCAATTGACGGCTCTTTCGTCATTTCCATACATCCTCTTTGAAATAAATAACCTATTTAACACCTAAAACAGTGGGTGGCTCGTGTAACTTCACAGTTTGTTGCATTTTTTCAGTTCCTTTGTTCTTTTGTGCTTTAAAAATTGGCCAGCTAAAAAGTATCTGTGTTTTTCTTCACTAATATATATTATGATGATAGAGTGATACTCATCTATTATGACCAAAATCTACAGTATTTATTATACTCTGGATCAATTTTAATGCGAAAAATATTATTTTAATGAGCGAGAAATGTTCGTAATGTTATTATTGTAATTTCGATGAGAGAATAAAATATTATATTGCAGAAAAAAAAGTAATTCCACACGGCTTTTTCAACCCTACGCCCGTCGACCTGCGGTATAACGCAACGTAATCACGTCACCGTTCTCGCATTCGACATATTATGCCTGTTTGACAAGTTCGGGGTTTTTTTTCCACCCGCTAGATTGTCATTTTAAACTCATATACTTGTATTCATTTTTATTTTTACGCGATATCAGCGGTTTTTTTCGCTCCTGCAGTACACCGACATTATTATCTGTCTAACTCCATGATCGATTGAACGTGTGTTAATATTATATATAATATTGTTACGTTGAACGTTATACGTGTAAACGTATACCACCGAAAATATCGAAAATGTGTCGTAAATACCATTAAATAATATTCACTTATTAATTTCGTTTTCGCAGCGACAACCATTCGATTACCCCGTTTTATTTATTAAAAATGATTAAACATCGAATGTTATGAAACAATATTACGAACTCAACACGGCTATAACTTTATACTTATCAGTTGTCCGAGAGACATGATGAATTTGCGCATTATTCGTCCCTTTCCCTCGTTTTTTCATAAAAATCATTCATTGTTTTATATATTTAACCCCCGATAAATATTTGGTATGAATGACCAATATTGTATTATTTTAACCCTCGTCGTTAGGTAGAAAGGTTTTAAGAGTTTGCATACCTACACTATATACAGACTCCAATACACGCACAATATCGCGAGACGTCAAGGCGAGTGATTGATGTTATCGTGTGTTTCGGAACCGGGCACATTTTTATTGCAAGTATCCGGGAATAAAATTGTTTTTAATTATTTGTGTTCTAGGTACCTAATGACCATATAGGCGTATGCATTGTGTTTGGGAAATAAATGAGGATGAAAAAATGACGATAGTGTAATATGAATTCAGTAATTATCAAAACTATTATTTTCGAACCTGAAAAATCACTATACATAATGCGTTCTCTCCTATATAAATTCTAAAAATTAAAAAAAAAATATAATATTAATCTGATAATATATTACGTATAGTGAATATTAGGCAACCAAGTTTCAAAACATAAATAATAATAATAGAATACATCGGAAGAGTACTTCATGTATTATTATGTTCGGTGAACTCTGTAGATGACTTTTAGAATCGTCAAAATAATAGCAAAAGAAAAAAAAACACTTTAACACAAGTGTTTGCACATAAAACAATCGACTTCCCAATAATATGGTTTCAACAATAACAATTTTATTAACAATATTAAAAAAGTTATTGGCAAAAATCGTAAAATAAATAAATATTATTTGTAATTTCTAAAAGGTACATATCATATTGTGAAAGTTTATGTACTAGGAAACAGAAATGTTTATGTGGAAAATAGCAGATGTTATAAGCTCTTATCGTTTGAATTAAAAAACATAAACGAATATACACTCGTAATATTTTAATAAATAATGTTGTGGAATTTTGGAATTTACGTTTATCCGAACATTTTAATTCTGAACTAAACTGAATTTGTTTAAAATTAAAAATCGATGTTTACCTATATAATTAATTAAGTTCAAATTGAAAGTTGTGCGTGAAAACAAACAAGAGTAGCAAATATTGCAGAAAAAGTAGAATATAAATGGTAATTACTAAAAAAGTAATACTAATACATTTTGTTATGATAGGCATGTATTTTGAACAAAGATAACAAATGAGGGTTGGAGCGGCTGATCTTCGGATGAATAAAATGATTATATTTCTTTAAATTGTATAGTTGAAATGTATAATTGTATCTAGAAACTACGTAAATCTAAAATGTTATGAATTATGACGATGGATAAGATACTTTTGTTTCACAGGTATTTAAAAATTTGTGAAATTTTTAAATCGTTTATCTTAAAACATGGTTTTTAAAGTTACTACACTATATTATTCAGATAATACGATACAAGACGCATAATTTGGATTTTACGTCACATTAGCTGATTTTATAATCAAATTCATAAACCGACTTCGTATATCGTCACTAGGGTTAAAAAAAAAAAAAATGACTAAATGACTAAATAATTTAAATTGTATTCAATTTTTGATTTTAATCAAGAATTATTACGGTGTCAAATAGTTCTTATTATTATTATTCACTATTCATGATACCACTTAATAATAATATAATATAGACACTTGAATATGTTTTCATAATAAATCACTATTTACGTGATAACCATGAATTTAATATCCACCGAAGTAATATAGTATTGATGTTCGTAAATAAAATAATTAAAATCAAAATCCTGTGATCGTGTTAAAATAGATAATTAGCTAAGAGATTTAATTTTTAATCAAATAATTGGTCTCGGTTGAATTTGATTGATCCGACTATTCTAGTTGTAGGTATTTAAAATCTAACAAAAACACGGTTAAAGGGATAAAATGGGATTTATTTCTTGATTGATCTCTGTGGTTTCCTAGAGAAGCCGGGAGTACTAATTTACGCCCCCCTGATCTTTTTAGATGGCACAGGCCTTTTCGTGGCCCTAGATACCAGTATTGTCGTGGATCATTTGTGAAGCGAAGCGAATATGTGCAAATTTTCACTGGGCGGGCGAGTGTCGGTTCATCTCCACCGAGGTTGTATCCGGCGTGAGATCGAGATTACGGGCTCTCCTCTTCACGTGGTCGTTCGGCGATCTTCTCGTGCTTCGACCGTCGGGTCACAGCATGGGAAGTTTTTAAGTGACCCACTTGCCTCTGGCAATGGAGATTGTGCTATCAATCGCGTTTCGGTAGACACCTGACTGCCTCCGTTTTAAACTAATCGTTTATTCCGTCGGTGGTTGGGAGTCGAAATATGTTCTACTTTTATAACATCTATGAAAAGTACTCCGGGTGATCTCCGGAGCCCCGGTGTCGACCCAGTCTCGGTGCCGATCAGAGGCATTGGTGTCCGTCCTTGCAGTTAAATTCGGACAGGCTTATGAGTTTAGTTGGGTAGTGGTTAAATAACTGGGGGCCACCCACCCGACGGTGACTGAATCCGTGAGCATGCGGTATGTGAATTGTTGGGTAGCGGGTATTGGGACCACATTTTGATGCATTAAATGCATCTGGGGTTTGCCCTGAAACCCTCCGGCGTTCTTGAGTAGCTATCAGTGCTAATGTAAGTTCTCCGGTTTGTAACAATGTTTTGCATTGGTTAAAACTCGGGTTCACACTGGTAGGTAATCAAAATAATCGAAATATGAATTTTCCTTTGGTTCGTACAAAATCTACACAGTGTTCCAGAAAAGAATGGCCAGCTATACGGTGTGTTACTCTATACGTGGCCTAGTGGCTACAATAATAGGATTTTTGAACTTTCTTATCTAATGTCAAAACTTTTGCTTTATCTGTTTTATTTATAAAATATCCATACAAAATAAAAATATAAACCATACCACAGAATTTGTATAATATTTTTTTACAAAATAAAGAATCATTATATTTTTTCAAAAATAATAATTTTTGACTTATCAATGCCCAAAATTGTAATTTTGGTGTGACACATTAATTTGTAAATACATTTTTCAGGAAATTCAATGAAATCAATTATTTTTTATTTAAGTATAAATAATTTAATGATCTTATTTAAAAAAAAAGATCAATTGGATTGTAAAAAAACATATTTAAATTCGGTGGTTTTTATTGAATTTTATTATTAATAGTTACACATAGATGAGTAGATGTTCAACATCAATAAGACAATTCAAGAAAAACAATTGTATTTGGGTACAATCAAATAAGTCGTATTTTTGAAATAAGATTTCAAATTTACATATAATCTCACATGGCACACCAAAATTACGATTTTGAACATGATAGTGTAAAAATAACCATAATGATTATTTTTGGTAAAAATCGAGTGACTCTTATTTGTAAGAAAAATTTTCAAGAAATTCTTTTGTGCAGTTTATTTTTATTTTGTATAGATATTTTACAAATATAACCATTATTCTAACATTAAAAAAAATTCCGAAAAATCTATTCTTATAAACACATATGGATGTAAACACTATATAACACCCCATAGAATTGGACATTTCTGGACATTTCTGCATGCTATTGACCAGTGATTCCCAAACTTTTTTTTTTCTGGTGGTGCTCTTTTTTTGAATAAGTTCAGCCACCTTCCTTTTCCATGAATATTACAATGAACGCATACAAAAACATCAACAATAATTCTCTTTGATAAACAGTTTTAATAATTTGTCTGAATATAATACAATATAAGAATACTAAGTATACAGCCTACGTAAATAATTGCCCATTTAATTAATAGTATGATGTTTATGGTACTGCAATATTACAGTATGATGATATAGGCCCATAGGCTAATACGTCTTTTGTGATTAATAATAAATTATGAACAAACTGTGATAACAATTAACAGGACAATGTACTCGTAAGAACGGCCCTTAATAGTTTGCTTTTCAATTAAACGCCAATATTAGATTCAATATAATATCAATAAAATAATACAAGTATAATAATAACATGTTTGATTTTGTTTTTCGATTTAATGTTAATATTTTACATATTTTATCCAAGTTTTCATATAAAAATAAGTGTTTTTAATTTTTTGTATTTTTTTGATGGGAAGTGGGAAAGGTGAAGTTCTCATACGAAACTATTAACTAGTGGAGCACGAAGTTTCATTTATTTTAGGCCCTGGTTCGAGTGTTTCAAAGAAAAACTGTCCGTTGTATTCTAATCGCGGTTTGAAAACTTTAAGTTAATACATCAGATCTGTCTTGTTATGAAATGGAGAAAGTAAAAATTGTATCCAGATATATCTGGATCGTTTCAAATGATTTAAGTCTAATAAGTAACTGAATCTTATATAAGTGAATTTTATAAGCGGCGTCCACTGTATTGTAATTTATATTAGTTATAAACGGAGTAATCTTATGACATTGCTCCAGATTATCTTGCATTAAATCATAATGTTTTGTTTTCTTAACTGAAAATAATATATTCAATTTTGTATAAAACATAAAATATCTCTCTTTCCCTTCTTGAGATCGTAAAAGTCGTCAGAGTGGTTAAGAAATGAGAAATATTACTATAGTAAATGTCATCCCTCTCTCACCAAAAAAAAAAAAAGAAAAAATAAATATTAATAATATTTCATTCTGTAGCCCTTCAAAAATGATTTTACTTGATTCTAAACATGTTTAGATTTTTTCAATTTTCAATGAAATTTCAGGAAATGTTCACACAATGTTTTATAAAAATATATTGGATAATTTTTTAAAACATCTGTAATATTGGGTTTGGCAAAAATGAAGTAACAAAATTTCTGTTTTAGATAAACTATATGTTTTTATCGAAAATAGTGATAGTCTAGTAATAGTCTTTTAATAGTCTACTATTGCACGTTTTGCTACCAGCATAATGTGGAGAGAAAAGTGATTATGAATGTAATTGTTACTGTGCTTGATATTGTGCAAGAGAGATTTAGTGATGTTATCAACAGTGTTGACTTACTAATTTGTATTCAATGCTGTGTCCACAATATATTGCAATAATATATATTTATGGTTTAAATGAAATGCATATTATCGGTAATAATTAATAATATACTACAAATTTATCTACTGACACACAGTTACTTTATGTAAACTTGGAAAACCTCTAGACATTGAGGAATACTCAATATTTGTTTCTTCGCAGAATAAGAGTCATCGAGTTACAGATAAATAAATGTAAAAATGCGCAAACGGCTGATGGCCCGGCAGAACTGATAACTGTGGTAGAGGGAATGGATAATAATAAAAAGCATACGAATATACGAATATATAATAATAATAATGATAATGATATTATTATAATTAAACAAGTGCCATATTCATAGTGAGATGAAGGTGTCATATCCCTCCTTGACCATTGTTATTTTTATAACATCTAATTTATTCCTCATGTCTACAATTAATGTTTTCATATTTTTTTTATAAACATCTGTTGGCAATATCAAATAAAAATCTATTAGCGGAAGTTGTTGTATTATTTGTAATGACAAATGTATTGTAAGAAGAAATAGGTGCCTACCAAGTATTGTACCTGCATTTTTCATGTTTTTTACCTGAAAATATTAATAACAATATTATACTTATAACTAGTAAGTTATAATCAGATTGTTTCTTTTGCGTTTGCAAATGCTGAGCACGCCAATGGAGTCGAAACACAAAGACGTGATAGATTCTAGAGAAAAAAAGAGCCGCTCGTTACTGCCATGTATATAACTACGGTTCCAGCGAGGTGTCGCTTTATTATTATTATTGAAGACCACTGCTGCAGACGGACGAACGCGTCACGCAAAAAAGTTTTCTTCCACTTCATGTCTTCGGATGCTATTATATAGGTACTGCATCGGTGTGACGCGAAACAGGGCACTCAAAACGCTGCTCGGCTCTTAAGTCAAACTTTTACGGGTTTTTTTTACCCTCCTTCATCCCTGCCATCATACAAGACCGCCATCGACTGTATTATAACCCTTTATTCCTTTTTATCGTTTCAACGTTGTTGTATACTGTCACTGCACTACCAACACCTACCCTCAGTCATCAACATCATCCACCCCTCCCAACAACTAACAACTATGATGTTATTCGTCTGACCCTTTACTATATGTATCCTACGTATACGTCTTGTCCTTCGGTGTAATTCGTGGTGTTTACCCCAAGCTTAAGTAAATCCCGATTTGTCATTGACACTACTACCACAGCCGTTTCTCCAAACATTATTTTATCTTCGCATTGCACAGTCAGCACGATCTATGAAAAAAAATATTACAACGAAAAATGACAAATTTTACATCTATATTGATACTTGTATATTTGTATACTTGTATACTTGTACTTGTATATTGTAATATTATACTCGTTCTCCAAAAAGTCACTTTTTTTTTTAGAGTCGGATTTCTAAGGTAATTAGGGTATGCATTGGTTTTACTATGTTGATGAAGTTTTTTTTTTTGTATTTGTAATCACGTTTTATACCAACCATCTTGCTAAAATCCAAAATTATATTAAAATTTGTTTCTAGTATCTTTTATCTAGAAAAGTTACATAAGACTTGGAGCAGAGTGAGGAGTCTTTTGGTTTTATTACAATGTGTGGTTTCTTTTTCTGTTTATCACAACTTTTCGAACAGAATAATTGGTTCAATAGAAAAATGACAAAATACCGTTGTTGTAGAATTTTGGAAGTAGTTGCTGAGAAAGTGAATCATTTTTTGATTTTATCAGCAGTTTTATAACAGATAAAAACCTGCATAAACATGTAAAATGAAAATTGATAAATTTAGGTTGTTAAAATTTTATTATTTTAAATTTTACGTTTTATGTTTTTTTTTTCTGTTTTTTTTTAGATTTTCTTAATAGTTTTTTAACAACTAAGTACAACTGACAAAAAAAAAAAACAAAGAAAGAACGAGATAATTTACGAAAATAATTAATTTATTACTTTTAAATATAATTTTTTGTATCAATTCAGTTAAAAATATTTATAGAAACTTGATTTTTTTGACAGAAAACTCATATTTACTTTTGGTAAAATCTTTTTACTAGTAAAATTATCAAGATATTTAAGCTATTTTTGAGTTATTTAAAGACATTTTAATTTTTATTTGGTGTGTAGTCTTTGGATAAAGTTGTTAAACCCAAACAGAAATGCTTACAAAATTTGCAAGAGGTTGCTTATAAGTTGTTTTTAGTAACCAATAAGAAAAAGTATAATGTATTTTTTTTTATTTTTTTTTATAAGCAAGATTTTAATATAAAATTTTAACGAAAATTGTAAATATTACAGCTTTTCAAAACATGTATAACCGAACTTCACTCAGAATCGTTTTACGTTAGTAATAATTTTTCATTCCACGAACAAAAAAAATTTAAATCCCTTCTGTATTCTACCTTCTCCTACAACAGTGACCAAAATATCTTGTGAAGTGACAGTATTTTTTTAGCCTTAATTAGATAATTAGGTAGAAATCTATTCAATTTTTAATAAATTTCTTGATTTTTGTTTTAATTGAACGCTATTTTTGCTGTACTTTTATTATTATTTCCTTCAAATTCGAACATTATTAACATTGTACGTGATTATTAATAAGGTCAACGGATAGTAATCATTGTGTTTGTTCCTTGCTTTTGTCGACTTTATTTTATTTTCCTAATAATTAATAAAAAATAACCACTTATAAATTTATTTTAAGAGAAACTTTAGTGTATTTTAATATCAATGAACCTAAACACATTATTCCGTATTTTTAATGCACGTTTAGTTTTCATTATCTAAAAAAAAATCACACGAGTACATCATAAACACTAATTACCAGTTATAACTGTTTAAAATTTAGACCTGAAAATTAAGGAAGTCTACGGATACAGAATTCGTCCAAGAACATTTACGATATTCCTACCTATATTAAATTGTTTTTAAACTTTTTCGTCTGCCGTCAAAAATATTTCTTTGCTTCGTAAATAAAAAAAAACAAATATATTATCGAGCTGCATAATATTGTCTGGTGAAAAAAAATTCAACAAGTTTCCATCTGATAATATGTATCTTAACCTGTATGTAGCTGCTTCATCTTCATCCAGTTTTAAGATTTCTACGTTGTTTACTAACAAAAAATATAAAAGCAACAATAAACTTTTTTATTCTAGTCATATTTTCATTTTGTATATTATATTATAGGCCAAAAAATAAAATCTTGTTTGAACGATAAATATGAGAAAACACGTGCGATGACGTAATAAACGCTTAAAGGCTTTCAACAAATGTTTTTACACATTATTTTCATGTTATTTAAAAAAAAAATGCACTCGAAAAATAGATAAAACGCTTATTATGTGTAGGTATTGGCGTATATACATTTTTTATTTTTTATAACCGGAACACATACTTTCTACACGTTCTCTAATATTGTTTATTTATATGAATTTATTTATATATTTATCTATATTATATCGTCTGAACGGTAGACTTTCCAAATTGTGACTCGCCCCATTCCTCAAGTCTATCAAAGTTATCTAATCTTTTTGATCTTCTCATACTCTATTCTTGCTCGTTCTATTTGAAAAACATTAAAACACAATGAAAATTAGGTACAATACATTATCGTGTAAAATGTTTGACGAATCGTTTAAAATACCCAATCGAGTATTTGAAATATCTTTAATTTTTTGTATTTGAATACTTTATAAAATTATCTATTTTTTATTTGTAAGATTAAAAATAATTCTAATAATTTTCATTTTCACTTACATATATATATTATGTATATTGAACAAAAATTTTGAATTCTCGGTATTTTTTATGTTCACGAGAGTGAGACCGGAAAAATCCAAACACGATAAGATAATACATTGACAAAATATAAATCGATTGTATTTGTTTGAACAGCCTTGAGCTGAATAGCGATTTACAAGTGCCCCGTATAGTGTATAACTTTGAGTGGTCTTATAATGTAGGAAAACCGCCATATAATATTGAAATCAGATTCATCGGTGATTAATACTCCGGGAAAGCATATAGACACACTATGCTTTGGAAGTTATTATAATACGGTTCAGTCTTCCACCCGGTCTTATGTCGCATAGTAAGTAATATAATTTTATAATACAATGTCGATAGAGCTAAAAGAGCGTTTAAAAGAAATAGACCTAGGCTAATTTTTGGCTCCACAGTCAACAATATGTATTAATGACGAGGAATATGGTATAAAAAAAACCTTAACGTACTACAGTTGTCACCATAAAGAGCTGTACAAAAAAGTAGATTGGCGGGAGCATGTATGGAAATCAAAAGAACCGATTTGACAAGAAACTGAATGGAAGCCAAATACTAAAAAACAGAAATGGCCAAAAAAAGGATGAAAGTGCGAAAACACTTATGATCGTTGGAAGTCAAGGATGGAGAAAATGCTATAAATGATAGGATAAAGTGAAAGCAGTAAGACTTAAGAGCTTGTAAGTAAGATAATAAAAACAACATAAAGACCAGTGTGTTATGATGTGTAATTTATTGTAAATTTGAAAAAAAAAAATTTGATATTTGGGAGATAATTTTTTGAATTTTTCTTGTAGTTTTCTCAATAATACTGGAAATTCGGAAAATATGTACTTATGATTGCCTTTATGAAATAACGATTTCTATAATTTTGGATTTTGTTTTATTTCTTGTAATTCATTTAATACTGTAACATTTTCACTAGAAACTAGAACTTTTTTAGACATTGTACAACTTTCAAAACATTCTGGAATTTGTATTTTAGTTATTTTTAGCTGTTTGAAATTTTCAAGGTTCGAATATTCTATCATTCTAATTTTCCACCCGCAACAATTGCACACCCAAGTCTGTATTTTCAAATTATAGAAATATATAATTCCTTTTTTTTTCTAGAGTTTTCAATTTATTGAGATATTTGCAGCAATTACCATACTTCTCAATCTTTGACCTCTTTCTTAATTGCGTGGTATGAGTTATACTCCTGATCTTCCATTATTTAACCCATGCATTGCAACCGTGATCTATATCAGCAGTTCTAACTTTCTACCATTTCTTTTACGCTATTTCTACAATGATCTTTCTTACAAAAATAATTCCAACACTTTTTCGTTAATGATCTTATCGATATAATTACATAGTATTATAATTTCTGGTTGATTAATTTATCAGATATGCTTATGAATCATATTTTGAAACAGGAAGTTAAAAAAAAAAATTTTTGTTCGATTAGTATCCTACAGAAGTTTAAGATAATATAGTTATAATATATGCTTCCAAATATGTTATACATTTTCAGAGTTTCTACGTACCACGTGTAAATTTAAGTTTGTGTAATTTTTGATGCATAATTTAATTGTATTCAACCAAACTGAATATCTGACTATATTATAATAGTATTAAATTAATATTTTAAATATTATTTTTAGTGCTATAAATGTATAGCTATATAAAAGACTTGATCGTTGAAAAACTAAATACAGCAAGTAGAAGGAAAAGTAAACACTGTAAAAGGAAAAGTTTGTTTCCCTTGAACCGCGCTTTTATGTACCGAAGTCAGAGTATACAATTATCCACGAGGGTTCAATAAGTTTAAATTAACTAACCCCCACTGCAGTTATGTACATATACAGTTATTTGTTTTTATTTTGTTGAAACTGAAAATGATATTAATTTTTATATTAGTATTATAACAAAATATGTAATAAAAAAATATTTGTATAGTTTTTGTCCATCTATTCTTTGTAAAAGAGTTAAGTCGATAATAGTACCAACACTCATAATTAAGTAATCGTGTAATCGAATAACTAAAAAGTCAATTTAGATTCTAAGTGGAGCGAAGAAGCATGTGATTTTACAAAGATGTTTATTTTTTTTTTTTTATGTGTGCAACTTTTATACCAGCAGAATAGTTTGGATTTCTACGTATAGCACCTTTTCTGAAATAAAATTGGCGTTTAAAGAGGATTTTCTCATAAAATCCAAAAAAACAAAACAAAAAACGGGAAAATATAAGAAATTTAGGTATTAGTTAAAACCTATTAGGGCCTTCTTTTTTTTTTTGTAAATAACTTTTCTTCCAGCAAGTTTGCTCTAAATTTTAATGATAGCAATGTTTTTAAAAGGCAATTTCACTAGGGAGGTATTTTAGAGAGGTAATTTTTTGATTTTCTGGAGTAAAACATGGGAAAACCAGATAAAATGTAGAAAAATTTGGACAATCGGTACAAAATGTATTCAATTTTTTTTTTTTATATGAAGCCTATTAAGTTATTTTTTTTATTATAAGATAACATACATATGATTGACAAAGCGTAATTATTACCTTAAATTTGCTCAGAATCGTTTTTCCGTAAGCTATGGTTTATCATTGGTTACAGATATACATTAAAATCCCGTCTATATCCTAGCATCTCAACTTCCCACCTACATCAGTAGCTGCACCAGTCCTCATTACCTTACCTTTCTTTTTTAGATTTTGTATTGTTTGTTAGTTTTGATGAATTTTATTTTTTGGAAATAACATTAAAAGGGCAATGACAATACAATGCAATTAAAACCTAGATTGATAATAATTTCCGATTGACAATATATTATTAGGGCTTAGTTCGGTTCATAGGACTAACAGATGCATATAAGTGCTTTTATTAAATTATTTTTAAATTTATTTTAGTACTCAGTTGGTGCAATTTACTGGAACACCAGAGATTATTCATTCAGCCAAAAATAACTAATAAAAATGTGTCCCTCTGATTCTCACAGATAAGTAATCAGTGGTCAAATTTTCGATTCACGAAAATATATATGTAGTTACTTACTACTTTCTGTATAAGAATGAAAATCTGAAATATTTATTAAATGAAGGATATTATTTGAGTATTGAGTGAATTGAGAGGAAGTTTACTTTTGATAAGATATTTACCAAAGTTTCAATGAAAAGAAATATTATTTGCTTCATTAGTTATCAGTTGGCTAATTTGATAAATGTGGTCAAGTCTATAGAAAATTGAACTGAAGCATCCGATACCTAATCGCTTTAAATATGTAAAACTGCACAGTACTAAAGTATTTAAAACACTTATTAGCTATATTGAAATACAATTGTTTTTAAAATGTAATTTTATTAAATTACAGTTAAATATATATATATATATATATGTTTTTATTTATTTATTTTATTTCAATAAAGTAAAAAACTTGTGATATTTTTGACATCCGAATTAGAAAGCATTTTTTAGTTATTTTTTTTATTATTTAATTATTAAGAGCACAGACGTATAATGATATTCCTGGAGGTTCATTTGTTTATTTTTTTCCTCCTGTGTAAAAGATATTATAATAACGATATTATTCATACAACAGCTAGAGCAACAAGTTGAAAAAACCCGCAAAATTAAAATTTTACCCGAAAAGTTGTTGAAAAAAAAAAACCCGCATTAATGTGTATTTGAATTATTTATTTTTTTTAATTTATAGTGCCTCCGAATATTTTGGACTACCCGACCAGCAACGACATGGTGCTGAGAGAAGGCGGTAATGTCTCGATGCAATGCTCTGCGTCCGGTTTTCCGACCCCGAACATCACCTGGCGGAGGGAAGGCGGCGCTCTGATTTCCGTAACCCCGAAATCGAACGGTTAGTCATAATTAATCATAATAATAATATATGTTTACTTAAAATATGTTAAGTAAGACATAAAAAAAAAAAACAATATTAAACATAATCCTATATAATCGTCAACGTCATATTATTATTTATACAATGATAATATATGTAATCGCGTGTATGTTATAAATATATATTTCAACGATGGAAAAAAAAAAACATTTACGTATTTGAGGGACTTGATAATATTTTTTAAATGATCTGAAATAACTATATCTGTTGCTGAACCTCTGGATAAATATTTAAATCGGTACGTCTCCGTACTCGATATACTGTATAATATCCATATAAAAAATACATCTTTCATATTATTACTATATTACGAACAATAGTCATCTTAGGTACTTAAATTTAACAATAATATTATTTTGTAAAATAAACAGTTGTTCCAATATTTTATAGATACTATAGCTGGGGTTGTTGTAAAGTATGTTCCAATCATAATATAGATACAATGGTTTACTAAATTATTTATTATTTATTGAATGTTATAAATGAAAATGAAATTTACAGTATAAACATGAGAGTATTAATATTTGAAATTTGAATTTTTTTTTATTTTGATCTGATACTTGTGGGCCGATTAATTAATGATCGTGGTCGGGATTTTGCAAACAGGCCGTAACTGGTCACCATTGTTTTAGAATTATCATATATTTGATATTTTATTATAATTATTTAATTTTTGCAAACTATGTTTTTTTATCAGAAATATTGCTACAATAGAAAAACGACGAGAAAACCTTTTTGTAGAATTTGTAATCCAGTTTGTGAGTAACTTTTTGTTTGTTTTAGTTTTGTTATTTTCGATTCTCCCCCATTTTTTTTTTTTAATAATTGAGCAAAACCGAGAAAACAAGTAAATTTACGAAAATAATACTTTTATTATTTCCCTTTTTCTATTTCTGTTGTAAATCGATCAAAACGTAGAGACTTGAAACTTTGACAGGTAACTTATATTTGTACTTTCTAGACTTTCCTCTACCTTCCAAACTTCTTACACACAAAAATGGCCCAACCATCGTGAAAATATGTCGGTTTTTTTTTATTACATACCATTTATGATTGCAATAAAAAATATCCTGAAAATTTCACATTGGAAGCCATGTATAATATTCTCATAATATTTATATATAATGATATGAAGTATAAATATGAAAAATGTATAATTGTTTTACTTAAAAATGTTTTTATCTTATATCTACAAAATATAATAGTTTATTTTCAAAACTAATCTAAAATTTAGTTTATTTCATAAAACGTGAGCTTTAACGTCTTTGTTTTTATTTCACGAGTATTTCACTAAATGTCAATTCGATTACAACAAAAATAAATTCAATATTTGGAACGTAGGGAGGGATTTACCTATTGTTTTTACTATGATTTGTGTTTTATATTTTTTTACCGTTTATTTTTTTGTTGTGTGCAAACTCACAAATATTGCTTTGATATATAGAGGGTATAATATTTTCTAAAAAGAAATTATGTATATTATTAAAAAGGTATTTTTTTTTTTTTGATTTTCTAAACGGTTTTTAAAATAATTTAGAAAAACCTGATACTAAATTATTGGTGAAACGACAAATATTTAATTACCGATTTCATTGTTTTTAATTTATACATTTTATATTTTCTAAGAGGAAATATTGTTTCAATAGAAAAATTGTTAGACTAAGCAGAATTTCCTGAAAATTTAACATCATATAATTTTCATTATAAGTTGTACTTAAGAGTCAAAAAAAAAAAAAAAAAACAATTTGTGTTTTGTAGTATATTCCTTTATACAAATTTTAATATCAAATTTTGACGAAAATCGTAAATATTATGACATTTCAAAGTGTGTAGAACAGAACTTCTCTCCTAATCTTTTTTTCGTTAGCAATGGTTTATCGTTGGTTACAGGTATAAATTAAATAACTTTATGTATTCTACCTTCCCGACTTCTCCCTACACCAGTGGCGTACCCGTATCCAATATAAATTGTATTTTTATTAAATTAATTTTGTTTTATGTCATGTATACGTCTCCTTTCTGCAATAAATATTGTTAACATATACCTATACACGGGCATGTTATTATGGCCATGTCCCCTTTTTGCAGTAACCGCGTGCTTAATGCGAAATAATAATAAAATCGAAAAGTATAGATATATGTACCACTTCTCATTCCTACAGTAAGTAAGCGAGTCATAAAATATTTTGCACTGGACAAATATTTATTCACTTCATATAGAACATGTTTTTCCTCGATTCACGCGTATTATGAATGTCCCGGGTTTTAGATTTTAAGCTGTGCGCTCGTGTATTTGCGCTTTGCTAGTCATATTGACGGATACATTTCTCTACATCCGAACCGTGTATTCAGTCATAATTATCAAACACGTTTTTATTTTAATAATAAAAACACACAATATTATAACAAATATTATAGCAATACTATACACGACTGAATGGTGTGCATATTGTCAACAATCGGATTGGCGTCAAATAATATTGCAGATTTCACGAATCAAAAAATAATTATATTATTATATCCAACGGTCGTTGCACGCGCTAAGTAAAAAAAAAAAAAGAAGCGTAACGAACAACAGTGTATATTATATCAAACAACGTTCCCATTTAAACACATGTAAACCGGCTCATGATTTTTTCGCACGCATCACTATAAAACTACAAAGTCAATTGAATTCTAATTTATATTGAAACATTGAAAATATTACTGAAAGGTGTCTTTTCTAATTTTATGCAAACCGGTTCAATAGAACGGAAGTTATGGGCATTAATGTTTGGAATTTTTACAAAAAAAGGTATTGATATGGACCAATATGACTGATGTGTAAATTAAAATTTCCTTTAGGTGTTGCTAGGATGCAATCTGAAAGTATTTTGAAATAATAATAATATTGCGCAGCTAATAATAGATCAACTAAAAAAAAAAAATATTGTAAAACAATATTTTCTCAGTGACGCATGTTGAAATCAATCGCAAAAAAAGGGTGATACCACAACAAAAACACTTCGTCTACAACTTTGTGTAAAAAAAAGGCTAAGTAAAAAAAAAATCACCAGTTATTACGTATTTTATAAGTGTTTACCATCATAAAGTTGATATATCATTTGTGGTGCTTAGTAAAGTTTTCGATTTACTTGGTGAGAGTAAATAAAATTTCCTAAAAAGATGTCCTAAATAGTTATACAATAGCAAATAGATAAAAAAGTTATAAAATTTACTAATTATTTTATTATTATAATGCTGTATAAATATGCTTAAATGAATAAATATTTACTTAAAATACTTAACATCTTATTAAACGCGGTTATGACATCTATTTAGGAAATTTTATTTTCTCTCGACAAGTTAATCGAAAATTTTACTTAGTATCACAAATTTATGATGCTGAACGCTAACGAGATACGTAATATCTGATGATTTTTTTTTTTACTTAGCCTTTCTTTTGTACGGACCTGCAGGCGAAGTGTTTTTGTTGTGACTAAAAGTATAACGATGTTTAATGGAAAGCAGTTTTGTCCACACGTAGCTAATAATTTGACCTCACGAGTCGAAACAAAAAAACGTTGTTTTTGTCTACCTGTTAGATGTCATAAACAATGTTGTGACTGATAGAAATGTATACAATGAATAAAAATAAAACTGAACATTTAAAAAAAAAAAAAAATCCGATGATATTTGTATTTAAACACAAATTGTAATGTATGCACGTTGCAATTTACGCTCTAAGTTAAAGAAAAATATAGAAGAAAGAAAGACTGACGTACACAAAGGAAAATCTATTCGGCCACGATATCGGAAACAAAAAAAAAAATTATGTATTTGAAAAATGTAACCGCTACGGCGAAAAGGCCGTTCACGTCATACCGAATATTGTCGATCGAGATGACACGTGCGGCACTTTTATTCGTATACACAACAGAGTTAATACGCTCTATTGATTTTCATGTACACGGTACATTTTCATGTAGATAGTCGTATATAATGTGTTTTTTAAGTCGAACCGATTATTATATTATTTTAACACTGGTCTCTATAATAAACACAATAATAGTATATTATTTGACGTATCATGTTACGATTGTCTGCGTGTTATTAGTCATTAGTACAGGTAATAGGTACGTTCTATTTCAGACGTTATTGCTTAATTTTATTTTTTAAATTCTTAGTATCCGAGTATCCGAGGAGTACCTAGTTCTTTATAATTGTACGTGTTTTTTTTTCTTCATTAACCGTAAAACACTTTACGGTTAGTAAAAAAAATAATCTTAAACGTTCATATCATGTCTTAAAAACTGCTAAAAAATTTCATCCTAAGTTACTTTATTAAATTTTGAAACGTGTTTTTAAATCTCCAATTATTTTTCCAAACAATTTATTTTCCTTTTTTTATTTTCTAATATTTTTTTTTTTTTTTTGGTTAAGCCAATGCTCAATTTTTTTCACTTAGTACCTCGAAAAATTGTTAATTTTTTTCCACTGGTGCTTTATTTAAAACAGTTTTTCACCCTTTTTACTTTTATTTAACGTACCAGGTGATCTATATAAGTGGGTACACTCATTATCTCGAAAAATATTAACTTTTTTCTGAATTTGTTTTCTAGAACATTTTAGAAACAAGCTGCTTTTTGTCACACTAATTTTTGGAGAAAAAACCACTCCCTACTTTTGATTTTCAAATGGTAACCTATATTAGAAAGTCTATAAATATATGGAATATTAGTTAAAATAAATTTTAGTGTTGATTTCCATCGATCCGTTGACGAGATATTCCACTTTTAATTTTAGGTTGAAGAAGAGTAATGGTTCATAATTAACACTCCACGCGCCATACCACCACACAAATGATATTCCACTAAGAACTCTAACGTACTTTTACTAAATGAAAAAGTATTTTTCAAAAAAATAAAACATCTTATTAATGAAATAAATATAGCTTGCCTTCACTACACTCGGTGTCAAAAAAATAAAGACCCCATAGTTTTGTTGCATAATTTAAAAAAAAAAATTATAAATATAATGTTTGTATTTTTTTTTTTAACAATTTTTATACAATTTTCTTAACTCTCGACTAAAATGTACAAAAATTATATTTCTACTTATAACCAAAATCAAATTTACTCTACATTCCCGTCGTGTATATTATATACGATAGTTCGTGATAACATATAGAGTTACCATGCATATTATAATATTATCATCATAAAACGTTATACCTTTACACTACATCTGGTGTGTCTTAAATATTTCAAAATGAGTAAGTCGGTTAGGTATACTTACTATAATATGGTTTAGCGACCGTATTCCATAAACGCACAGCCGTTGAAAATTTAATAATACACACAACAATCCATCATTAATCTCGCGTGAACGTCTACAATGGTGACACTCGTCGAAAAATCTAAAACGTCGTACTGTTTAAGAGGACCTTCCGATTTTTTATATTGTGACAAAAATCACTTGGCCAACTCAAATAATAATAATATGGAACTATTTAGAAGACGCCACACCCGCGTGTGTTGTCTCCATCATACAAACGTTTACGATCGATAATTTATGTTAAGCAGGAGTAACTTTGTGTTGTTATTTTCAAAATTAGAATAAATTGACTTACAGAGTGGCCCAGCGAAACGGAAAAATTTTAATTAACGTTTACAAAGTTTAAAAAACTGTTTTTCAATACTTTTTGTATAAAATATAGAAGGCATAATATGACATTTAATAGGTTAAAAACACTAAAATCTTAAATTCGGTAAATAATAACAGCAATATGCTGTAGAGGAGCAGATGCATTCCTGGAATTGTGACGGTTTTGTATCACAAAGAGTGCTTTGTAACATCTCCATTGGGGTAAAAACAATTTCTTCTTAAATTCTTGTCTTCAACTAGAAAGATGTTGTTGGGTGAGTTCAAATCATTGTACAGTATTTGACAGGTAGATGTTTATCTGAGATTAAATGCTACTGTTTGTTTTATTACAGAACTTCGTGGGCTCTTTTTAAACAACTTCCGAATTCAATGTTCTCAAGGTTTCGTTGAGTTCATTGCGCTTCTAGAGGTTTCTTTTTAAGACTTGAACCCATCCAACCTCAATGTTTATTCTCAACCCAAGTCTTGATTGCGTTGCTTAATGAAACACGATCATAACGTCCTAAATTAAAATGATGTCAAAACTTCTAGCAAATCACAGTCAGACTATCACTGTTTTGTAATATGCCTTGTAAAATGCGCGTTGTGAACCGATCCAGTAGATTTATGACTACTTAATGACAGGTATCTGTGAACACACCAAAAACACTACCGCCTTTCTAAGAGGTCTTCAGTGCTACCACTGTAACTTTTAAATTTCTCTGTTTCACTAGTCCACTCCGTATTATCAAACTTCAAAATAAATGCAATTAGGTAAAACTGCTTGTTTTCGCTATTTTAATATCAAAAAGAATTTTCAAGTTAATTGTTTTTAAATTTTATGATAGTTTAATTCAGTATAATATTAAAACTAACAACTCAAAGTTCCCTCTGTTGAACACAAATATACTATATCGCACGTTTGTAAAACGAAAACAGAAAATACGGGTTTGGCATTCTCCAATCGCCGTAGATTATAGATTAATCAAATTGGTTCAAAAAAATAAAAACATTAGAAAATAATCAAAAGTCGGATAAAATGTTCCCCCTACCACTAACCAAAAACAACAACAACATTTTTAATATTTTACCCTAATATATTTAGCGTTTGGAAATATAAATTTCAATATTTTTCAAGTAAAAAAAAAACAATTTTTTTTTTAAATCTGACCACTTTAATAGACAAAAGAGTTAACCATATATATAAAGCAATGATTATAAGCAAAACAACCAATCGTGCACGGTTCTCAAGGAAACATTTTAAAATATTGTAAATATTAAACGATTCTACACATGTGTATATTGTAATAACCAGACAGAAAAATAAAATCATATTTACTCAATCTTTAAAACCAGGTCCATGATAAATAAAACACTACACAAAAATGTGCACAATTAAGTGCGTAGGGCATATTATAGGTTGCGTAATAAGTGATTAGTCGTGTGCTTGGAAGTCTAAATAAATGGCAAAACGGATGTTAAACGAGTTGGTTTGCACCTAATCAGTTTTTCGATTGTAACATTTTATGTGGAAATTTCGGATTTTAAAAATAATTTGTTTTTTTTTTAAAGATATTATTACCCCGGGGTCAAAATACATTTAATACATATAATGTTATTATATGGTAAAAACTGTTAAATTTGGATATTCAGCTAAATATTATCGATCATATCGTCGTTAAACGTTTGTTTCTTGACAGTTCAAGATATTATATTCTACACAGTATGGCAGTATATACCATGTGTATGTAAACGTGGTCTCAAAAAAAAAAAAAAATTGTACCGTGAACTGTATTGTGAATTTTAGATATCTTTTGTTTTAACGCACGTCCTTTGAACTTTTATAACTTATAAAGTTGCGGTTGTTTTGGTGTGGTCCCATTCATGTTAAATCGGACGGTTAAACACAAGGGGATAAAGGTATACATCTTCCCTCCACCACATTTTTTTAATAATAGGGTTTTTTTTTCAACTATGCTCATTCTATTTGTGTGATTCAATTATGCATAAATTCAAATTATAATTTTTAAATGCATTGAAAAAAAGACATGTGATGAGTTACAATAAATAATTTAAGAAGTTATATTAATAGTATCTTATGAAGTATGAATTTTATATTATGATTGTTTAGATAAATACCCTTTTTTATATGAAAAATAGTATACATAGTTTTAAAACATAGAATCTAGTAGATATTGTTTATTAGTTCATTAGTATATTATCAGAGTTCTGGTTTTATAGCACTGGAAAGTACTGAAATATACAAGGTGATTCATTTAAGTGAGTACATTCATTATCTCGGAACGTATTATCTTTTTTTCGGAATTTATATTCTAGGACATTTAAGAAACAAGCTACTCCACAATTTATATTTATGTTATTTCTTGTCGCACTTATTTTTGAGGGTAAAACAACTACCTACTTTTGATTTTTAAATGGCAACCTATATTTCAAAGTCAATAAATTGCGTATTAGTTAAAATAAATTTTAGTATTGATATTTTTTATTTCCGTCCATCCGTTGACGAAATACTCTACTTTTAAGTATGGGTTGGAGGAGAGTAGTAAAGTATCATTAGCGTAGCGGTACGGCGCGCGGCGTTTTAATAATTCACCACTACTTTCTTTCAACCTAAAATTAAAAGAGGAATATCTCGTCAACGACTTGACAGAAATCAAAAATTTCAACACTCAAATTTATTTTAACTGATACTCCATCTCTTTATGGAATTATAGAACATAGGTCGCCATTTGAAAATCAAAAGTAAATAGTGGTTTTACCCCCAAAAATAAGGGTTACGAAAAATAACATAAATATAAAATTGTAGTGCTGGTTATTTCTTAAATGTTCTAGTAATTTAATTCCGAAAGTTATTACTTCCCGAGATAATGCGTGTACCCACTTAAACTAAACTATTTTATTAACATTCCGACGAATCATTTTGTGAATATGTTGGAGCAATTATCAATATAATTTGAAAATCGTTTTTAAGAATTCAAATCACATATGATTTCATTCGGATAATTGAAAACCTATGTCCGTCTTTTGCAAATGAGGTTTAAAAAACTGTTCAACTTGAACTTATTGATTTAAAAACAAATAACTAATTGAAAAACGTATGTAAAGAAATCACAGACAAAAACGGACCGCGGGTTGAGCACGCCTGTATTATACCCTCCAAATTCGATTTATTATTATGTACTTTTTTTTCTACGATTTATCGAACTTTTAATAATAAACTTTGTACAAATCATCTAGGTACCTATACCGTTTAGGTAACGGGCGCAGCAAACAAACCCATCAAATGCACATGGCACGAAATACTTATAAGACCTATACATACACCGTACACGCACACACATACACACACAAGTACATATTATATATCCTATACAAACCTGTCAAATAGGTAGCGAATCGTTATCACTGTAATAGTATTGTATAAATGTTACACAACAGTATGTGTAATATGGGAATAAAAGTTAAAAAGATTTTCTGGTGTTTATTGCATTGTTTTCCTTGAGTTAAATTAAATATTGCTAATAACGTTGTAAATCAACGAAATAATATTTTAACTTATTGCGCTAGTTTAATATCAGTATAATATCACAAAATTATTTTTCGTTATAAATAGGTATAATATTATTTTTTGAATTTTCGTACACTTTTGCCATTTCAAAATAAAAACTTTTTACAAGGAAATTAAAACACTTGGAAGAAAATAAAAAAAAATAAATATATTTATTAAGCCCACAGTCGCTGATTATAAATATGTTGCAATAATCGCATTAAATATTTTTAATTATTGATTTCCGCATATCTACTTAAAAAATAATATTTTCATTTTATTTATTCGTATTATTTATTTCGTAAACTTTGCTTTTTAAATATAGAAGAAATATTCTCACTTTTAAAAAAATGCGAATTTATATTCAAATGTTTAACGTTAACTTAACAGTTTTCGATAAGAAGGTATTAATGGGGAATCTTGTGAAATGATTTTTTCCTAAAAATAAAATTCGGTAAGTAGGCACCTACTTAATGTAGATAAATATTAATTTATTAAAATATAACGCTGATAAAGTTAAATATAAAATATAAACTTAAAAATAATTTATAATACCAACAGAATAAGCGTACAATATAGGCGTATTTCTGAAACGGGTGAAGGATGCGATTGCCCCCCCCCCCGTATGCAACGTGATGTTCTTTTTTTTTATGTACAAATGCAACTAGTTCCAAACGCCAAAAAGATGATTCCGGATCTAGGAAATACTTTGATTGAAACAAGAATGTAACACTTCTCATTGATAAATTTCAATAAATATTCTCTCAAAGGTCAGATAAAATGATGGAAACCTGACTGGGAAAAATCGTTTTGCAAAGATATAATAAAATAACATATTTTTCGAATCAAAATCAAAATGTTTAATTAAATTTAAATTTTAGATTCTGAGTGTGCATTAGGTACATTCTTCACACCTATTGGATTTACGTTTTATTTTTTTTTATACTGTGACAACAATGTCTACTATTTTAGACGAAAAATTGTAAAAGTTTTGTCCCGATTTCCTGTCCCTTTGGATATTATGAAAAGTACAAGAAAAATCAGATATACGAAATTATCCGCGAGAATCATAAACTATTACTTCTGACGTTTAATTATTAGATAAATTCTTTGTTTAAAACTGGTCAAAAATTTTTTTACAGACAGAAAAATATACACATCAAATCATAAAACTAATACATTCCTTGTTTATCTCGGAAGGTTATGTTATCTTATCTTATATATACAATTCTCCGGAAACAGTATTTGTTATTCGAGAACTCCTCTGAAACGGCTTGATCGATTTTCATGAAATTGTTTGTGTATATTTGATAGGTCTAAGGTCATAAAGTATTTTTCACCCTCCTACTCTCACCTACTATTTGATTTTGATTATCGTGATTTTAGTATTTTCGTTTATAAATATATATATATGTATATAAAAAATGAAAAAAAAAAAAAAGGTGTTTAATTATTATTACAAATTAATCGGAAAATATCACGTGGTCATCAGAATCGGTCCAGCAGTTCTTGAGTTATAAATGATGTAACTAACCCGAATTTGTTTTATTTATTTAAGATTTTTGTTTATTCAAGAGTTGCCACGGAAAAGAAAACTGTTACAATTATTATTATTATTATTATTATTACTATTTACACTGTTCAAATTTCGCAATAGAACACATTGGTGGACCATACACTTTCCACCTATTTGTTGCCATTCAATTCTAACACGGCCAAAATCGAATATGAATACGAGTAAAATAATAATACTGCAAGTTGGCACGGGCAACGCCGGGCGCGGGACAACTAGTATTAAATAAATGTACGTTTTAATTTGGTGTAATTTATTTTCGTAGTAATTAAAATTATTTACGCTTTATGTGATTCATGCCATAAAATCAACTATTTAAAATTAAATAAACATGTTGGCATTGTGTGCGGATGCCGCAATATTATAATAATATATGGTTTCAACGTCATACAACTTATTTAGTTAATAAAACGGTCTCGTACAGAAATACGCTTTACAATAGTATTATTTTGATCTGCACTAAACCAACACGGTATTATTATGGTCATATTATTATAATATCGGCGCCATGTGGTGTTTCGTTAACGTTCGTACAATAATATTTTCGTAAATAATTATCGTGTTATTCCGGAAGGTCTGTCCGACTACCATGGACGTTAACGTGAAATGGTCGAAAGCGCATGAAAAACATTCGGCAGTACGAGATGAGAACGGTCAACATATTATTACCATAGGCGTGTCTACGGGGGGGGGGGTGATAGGGCGGACAGCTGCTTCTTCGATGAGACCTGAGACTTATTGTATTATATTTTATCATTTACTGTCTATTATTTTATAACCATCCTAAAATATTCGTTTGCAATCTATCGTAATTTTGTAAACGAGTTTATTATCAGATTTAAACGTAGGATAAAATGATTAACGACACACATTGGTTAGGTTCAATCAAGAGACAATTCTAACGTCAAACGATAAAAAAGGTATTGGCCGTTTAGTTAATTTTTGAAGTTAATAATGAAAATGTTTTGAATTTGATTCAGGTGTTTGATTTAAACCAGAATTAGTGAACAAACGAAGATCAGCGTTTATAACAATCCAATTACCTAAAGCCAGCAAAAATAAATGTCTTAATTAGATATAATGGCAGGTTTAAAATGAAAGAGACACGATATTTATAAATGCATCATAATATTTAGCTATGAAAACTTTTGTTACCGCTTTATTAAACAAGAATTAGATTATAATAACAACGGTAATGTCGTTATAAAAACTGTTAAAATTTCAAGACCATACATACCATCGAAACATTACACTGCAGAATACAACTGTTATTATTCACAACATTTACAATACACAGTAAATAAATGTATTTATTTATTCAAAACGAATTATAATCATTAGGTAACCAATGTGTTTTAGTTGCGTTAAAATATTTATTATCACAAGATTACACGCGACTAACACGTGTCTACACATTATGGGTACATATATATTTATAGATGTATCATTTTCAAAATTTAGATTAAGAGCTTTGGATTATGATTTTTGAAAAAAGTACAACAATTTTAGGTGAATATGTTAATATTGATTAGTTACACTCTGGAGAATGAGCGAATATACACAGACATACATTTTAACTTTTCCTCCCCAACGCTTATGTATATTATTATACATACCTATCCATCCATGAATGTACTTTTGCCCGTGAAAGTAAATAATTTTCAATTCATTTTAAACACCAGGATATCAGAATCCGAACCCGAATCGACTTTTATCGCCAAAAAAAATTTCACTAACGATCGAACACTGTTACGAATTCTGACCGGGTACGATCGCGTCACGCACGTTTACGTTCGTAGATATGTACACTGGTACCTACACGTAATTGGCATCCGGACAAAAGGCGTTATCGATACCATTTCACAAACGCGTATAATATTTACATGTATGAATTCTTTTATATTTCATACTCACACCGTGTAGACGTGTAGTGCACTACAATTATTATTACTACGACTATTATAAAACATGTGCACTGTCTACTATGATACCGTCACCTTACATTTTTACCAAGACCGTTCGACGTCTGTATAAAAAATAATATGCCCATAGACTACAATATAGGTGCATATTATAGTAAAAACGACAGCGACTTTGTGTTTTTCTTTCTCCTGTTTTCGTACCTAGTGTGACGAAGATTTTGTTTGTTTTTTTGTTTTTTTTTTTTTTTTTTTTTTTTTTTGTTACGTTCGTATGTCCGCGAAAATGCGACGACGTTTTCACGAGTAATCGGCGTCGCCGTGTATGATGATCGACTATTCTGTCCGAACAGTACTTTATATTATAGCCTATACTCGTCATTGTCGTCACCTACCGCTAACATTTTCTCATTTCAACGTGGTTTTATATTGCATTCATATACTAGTTTAGGCATAGGCAATTTTTACTAGCCATAAAAAAATATGTACTGTATTTATTTCCTCGGTAACAAAAAAAAAAAAGAAAAGAAAAAGAATTGTAACTATCTTCAAAATCAATACGTTTTGTACATTATAAACTTGTTGGGTAACGAGTAAATACAACTATCGACGTTTCAATGTAAAGTATTCCTTACATAATATTGTAAATCAGCTACATCAGTAATGGATTTCTAAATGAGGGCTAAACATAGTGAATAAAACTAAGTATACCTACATTTAATAATGCAAGCATACATCTATTATGCTTAAAGCATTTTTTTTAAGGTTACATTTTGCACAATACGCAATAAAACATTGTGTAATAGTGTAACATAAGTAATTATTTTGTGTGGGTATTTTATTTAGTTGATAGTGCAAATGCTCAAAAATTATTATTTTATTAATTGTACTTTTTCGAAAATAGATAGCTTTTATTTATCTATTTATTTTAGATTCTGAGTGGAGTGAAGAAGCTAATGGTTTTTCAATGATATTTATTTCATTTCTTTTTTCTGTGGACAACTTTTCTACCAAAATCCTCGGTCCAATTTTTAAATGTAGCACTTTTTCTGAAAGGAAATCTAATTGGGAAGATACTTGAAGGTGGTCATTTTTTGATTTTCTTTTAGGAGTTTTTCCAGTAAATGATAAAAACCTAGAAAAAACATTGGAACGCCGGAAAAAACGTAGACAAAACGGCAAAATAGGTACAATATTAAACAATTATTATTGAAGAAAATGTATAATGTACGTGCGATTATTTTACCATAATATGACGCATATATATATATTGTTGACATAGCAACACTGTCAACTAAACTCTGCTCAGGATCGTTTTTTCGTTAGCAAGGGTTTACCGATATACATTAAATTTCCCCTCTACTACCTTCAAAACTTTTCAATTACAATATTGGCACACCAACCTGTGAAGTGTGTTTTTATTTATTTTAACACATCTAACATCTCCTCGTTCTCACTATTGATTAAAGCTGATTAGCCATTTAGCTATTGCACCTTTGCACTGGTGTACGCCACTGCAGTGCACATTCGATTCTTTATCAAATACATTTTGTAGCTGTAAAAATAAATAATGTAATAAGTCGTTTTATTCAATTTATTTTAAGTGTTTCACTATATTACGAAGCTAGGTACGCGAAAAGTTATATACAGGTATATTTTGAAAATAAAACCAATATAATAAATTCAAAATCGACTAATTATTTTCTCGTTCCACTCGCTATCTAAAATCGTATAAAACAAAACTAAATACAAAGCCAAATTAATCTAAATAATGAAGAAATATATTATATGATATATTTATGAAAAGGATCAAGCGCGTAAAAGAATAACGAACTTTATTTTTAATGATGATTGAAATGAAATGTTCCACAATAATGAAAATGATTGAGTGTTCCGAAATAGAAAGTTGTTATGCTTATGACTATTATAAATTAAATTATGACGAGTAACTTTTAATTTAATTATTAAGTTCAAGAATCAATTTATAATACTGCAGAACTATAAAATTTTGTGAAATAATAATACAAAAATAAAATATTACAAGTTCACAATTATAGCATAATATATAGTAAAATGTATTAAATTAAATTATAAATTTTAGGCATCTACTTCAAATCGATTATAGAACTAAAACCCAAAATGTTTTTTGTTGTTGTATAAATCGATGACCTGTTATTTTAGATTACTGTTTTTTATTGTCTCTAAACAACTTTTCTATGCCTGTGATTCCCATCAAATCAAATTGAAATTTAGTTGAAAATAATTGTAAAAACATGACATGGTTACTTATATTAATACTTGTTAGACGTGATCAAATTATCAGAATATTTTCCTATATTTTAGCTAAACGATTTTTTTTTTCGTATACAATTTTCCGATTTATGTGAATACAGTTTATGAGACCAAATTTCGCTCAGAAATGCTTTTTATAATAAATAATTCTGACGAAAATTTAATTGCTGTGTATTGTATCTTACCTTCCTAACTTTCTATATAAAGTAATGTCATACATATAGTGCGACATTAATCGTCTATTTTTTTCAATTCCCATATTTTATTATTTTAATCAATAGAAACTGTTAGTATAATTGCATATGGGGAGAAAAAAAACTAAAACACGCCATAACTATTAGGTGTTCACTCTCCACTGAACTCATTTATTCGATTGTTCCTTTTAGTCAGAATTACGAGAATATTACTTTGCAGTGGGTGGTTTAAATGAGCCCAATTTTTATATTATTTTTAAATATTCACTTCGGCAATTTCGTAAGTTATAAATATAAACGTTGTGTTGTTGGGAGTTATATTGGTTGATTTATTGAAAAATAATATTCAACAGTGTATTTTTGACCACTTGGTAAAACGTTTTCTTACCTTTTCATCCGGAAAAAAAATTTAAATATTTAAATTGAATAATTGAATAATTAAAATATATAAAGTCCCATCAGACGAGAAATATAATAATTATAATAGTTTTTGGGAAATCACCAGGCAAATTTAGTGTATATATAACGATTTATATACTAAAATTTACAAATTAATTAATAATTTAAATAGATACACATAGCTAGTTTATACGCTTTTTTAAATCGTATATTTAAGAACCTTTTTTTTCTGTTTATCGGTTGGATTTAAAAATACAATACCTTTTTCAAGAGTATACAAATTAAGTGATTTTTTTCTGCTTATTTGTTCCATTTTAATAGAATCGGGCACCTTTTTAATATTGGCCCCCGTGTCCCAACATTCCTTTATCATGCACAACATTGTTAATGTTATACACAAAAAAACGTCAAAATAATCACCTGACGTAGAAATGTGCAAAGTTTTGAACTTGAGTACACTAACTTAAGATAGCAAAATAATTCGTGTGATGACTATGTGAACTGTAAAAAAGTTCACGGATATAAAAATTATTATTTTTAACCATTCATTATTTACCAATAACTCTAGTAAAAATAATCGACCACGTAAATGACAATAATATAACTTACAGAAACAATATACTTTAATATAAAATATGTTTTAGATTCCGAGTGAAGTAACTTGATAGGTATAATAATCGTCTTAATTTAGGTCTTGAAAGTAATAAAAGTGACAAAATGATAAAATTGATCAAAAATCAATGTAAACATCGTATAATAATTAAAATAAAATCATAATAAAATAATATAGATATATTATTCTACTATACAATATTAATTAAATTTAGTAAAATAAATTTTAAAAAGTTTTCAATATTTCTCTCTTTGTTTTTGTACTTTCCATATAAAAAGTGAAGTTTTTTTTATATCGACATGTATTTTTATTTTTTTTTTAGTGGTTCGCCATTTTTTTTTTTTAAACTTATTTTGCACTGGTCAACCACCTACCCCAACATATTTTTACAATAAATAGCTAAATATTTAGGTGAGAATCTGAAAAATAATTTGGAAAACCTAAGATATATCGGTTAGGTTGTTAGTTCTTTGTTGTCCATTGTTTATTTGATACGTCATGTACATTCCAAACTATTCCAAACTATAACCCGTTCCTATTGATTTGGATTAGTTTTTGTTATCTCGTTATACCTACAGTCAAAAAGCCGGACATGTTTACCTCAACACATTTTTTCCCGGACATTTCTTCCTCAAATATTTTTACCTACATCCGAAATAACAGCAGTATGTATCTTATGATGTGGAATGTTATTTTAGTAGACAAAAATCAGTGTTAATATCGAATCGGCAATTTAAAACACCATAATATGGTTTGCCATTGTTTTACTTTGAAATGATTAAAAATTAAAAACAGGGAATTGTATTATTCAAAAATTATTCCGAATTTCATTTTAATTCGACACGTTTACATATTTTTAATTTTTTGCTACATATTTTGGCCATTTTAATTACATGTATAATATCTACATACTCTTTGGTTTTCTATTACATATAATTCCTAGCCCTAATAATAAATTATGGGGTTCTGACGTATTGCTGGTAACACTATAATTTCTAATTCAAACGACGCGTGGACGCAAACCAAATGACCAAAACAGATACTAATTATATAATTTAGTGTAAAAACTTTATTATATTTTATAATAATTATTTCGTTACAAACAATCTAATCTCAAGAACTTATCAGCCAGAATCTCGTTTTTAAATATCATACTTCGTATACATCATTTTATCTTAGTACCTAAATACTTGTTAATAGAATTGAACATAATACTGGTATTCCAGATATTCAACTGATCGCAAATAACTATTGGCTTTCAATGTGTGAAAAAATAATTTGTGTTTGTTTTTTTTTTTTTTTTGCGACCTGAGCTCTAGTTGTATACCTTGCCAGTATTTTGTAGGGCGTTTATTTAATTATACTTTGGATTAGTGGTTTACGCCCGAACCAAACGTATTGTCTTAACAAAAACAACGGAACTGTTATTTTACTTCTTGCCGTGCATCACCGCAATAATAATAATAATAATAATAGTACGACGGTTACGGACGACAAATCATAACAAAATAATTCCACACAGTTCTCGATTTCGGTGTGTGCACGTGTAATAACAGCCCGTTTTGGCATTACGTTACAATTAATTTCAAAATTTAGCTGCAACTTAAGCAAATAAACGTGGGGTTCATTTAGTCGGTAGTCGGTACACGCCCTAGTTCTACTGGCGTAGTTTCATGCGCGTATTGTCGACATAAAAACAAAACCAAACCAACTATTCAGCTCTAATATAATAATATTCTAACATCATTGTTGATTTGAAAACCAATTGTTGTAAATAAAATATTTGTTCGACAATACATATATGTGTATATAAGTGTATATCAGTCTATAACAGCGTTTCCCAAATGAGGGGCATGAACAAATTGCTGGGAAGGTGCAAGCAGTTATTTTTATTTTACAATGAAGGGAAAAAAAAATAAATAATGACCGATGAATGAGTATCAATAAATAGTACGAGCAAGGCCATATTTAGGTAGTGGCGACAGAGGGTGCACCGTTGCGAATTTTTTATAAGGTTCGTTTGCTTATCAAGACCTTAGTGACCTTTTTTTTTGCTCATCACGTTTGTAAAAATGGGAGATTTGTAAAAATCTTCAATGAGGCGTATAATAAAAACAAAATAGGATACACTGTAGAGTCTAAAAAATCCTACCAAATACAAAATTCTACGACGAAAATCACCGTTGCCAATTGCGAAGTATTAAACATTTTTAAAATAATTTGTTTTGATTCATGCCTATCAAATGTGAATTTTGATTTTTAAAAAATCTTCTTTGCTTCTTTTAACTCCTACGGCGCGGTTTTCCATAACAAATTGATGGTTTTTATCGGATTACTTTGTAATTACTGGTAAATACTTTGAATTCGGGCACTGATTAAGTAATATCAAGATGTTCCGCAACAACTGGCGAGCGCTAAATATTACGTTTATGCTCTTTTCGCAAGCTTAGGTATATAACTATCGGTCGTATCTACATAGTATACTCATTAATCGGCGTAGCGTCGAGAAAAGAGACGACTGTATTTGGTCTCCTCTTCATTTTGCAGTCGAGTCATCGTGTTCTAAGTGCTCTCCAATTAGACGTGTCTCACAAACTCCGGGGCCTTATATGTTTCAGAAATGAGTAGGTACCTATATTATTATAGTAGACACCTAGTTAAATATTTCAAACGAAAACTAACGACGAACAAACATCATTGTCGGACGAAACTTTCTCTCCCCTGGCTACTACAGGTACTCTGACTATACGTCACATTAGATTTTCTTTATTACATATTTATATGTATAATTATTATCCGTTTTGTTCCATTGTGTTATTTGTGATACGGGTCGGCAATAACTGAACCAACGAGAATTGTAACTATACACCAACAAAAAATAAATAATGTACGTTTCGTTAACATTAGTTTTACAACACATGGTAAATAAAATTCGAGTGTGTTTGTGATTTAGGTATAAGTATAACTATCAGTTTTTAAGCTCATATTATGGTTATTTAAATGATATAAAACCCATATAACTGGACGTACGAATGTTGTCTGTCTGATTGCTTGGATTGATTTCAGAAATGGCTTCTATGGAAATCTATCATCAATACGATTGCAGATAAATAAAATGTTGATAACAATGTAATTTAACAGATTTTAGCACTTACTGTTTGAGTAATAACAAACATTTTGGCTTCGTTTTTAATAATCTATTCAATTTCAAATTTTTAAATCTGAACGTAGCGAGAGTCTAGGACAAATCGTCGCGGCATGTTTTACTTTTTATGACCGGATCTATGTATTTATTAAAAATAAATAATAAGTATAATAGTTTAATTTCCTGTATCATTACAAAACAAAATATTTAAACACGTTTTGTATGATTAAAATTAAATTTGTCTAATACGTAAATAAAACCATCTTGTAAAAACATTTTATGATAACGATTTGATAGTTTAATGTTGAATATTATTGTGTCCGAATAAGGACGAACACAATACTTTGAATTCCAGTTACGAAATAACAACTGGTCGGGGTAACAAGAGGTTTTTTTGCACACCAGAGTTAAACTGATACAACGTTCTGTAAGTATCTATATTATATATAGATTCACAATTGAATAAATAACTTTATTTCAAACGTTAATAATTTATATGAGTTCATAGTTTACCGAGCTGGAAAAAAATAATTTTTTTTTTCAATGTTTTTGTTTATTGCCCCCGTTAATACAGACCGTGATAGCACAACACGTACACTCTTAATTAATAATGTATACCTACGTTTAAAAAATGATTTATTATTTAATGTTCATTTTAAAATAAATACACCGAAAAGAAGTAATAGGTAGTAATAAATTAAACGGTATAATATTATACGGTATTACGTGCATTTGTATTATAGTCGAGTTCATAAAACGGTAACCTAACCCTTTCTATACGTCATATACTATATAAGGATTACAATTTCAAAAATAAAAAAAAAATGTATATATATATATATATAGGTATATTTAACAATAAATTAATGAATATAATCTTTTTGTCAGCGTGCGTAAAACACGAGATATATTCATATTATAATATATAAATATAATCATTTTAATCACTTGTTCCTTAACAAAAAAAAAAAAAAAACTTAACTGATTCCCATGCGTAAATTTTCATTCCAATAGATTTTTTTTTAATTTCTGAGTGTAGCAAAAAATGTATTAGTTTTACTACGATTTTAATTATTATTATTTTTTTTTTTTATGCTGTGTACAAAAATTCTATCAGAAATCTTACTCAGATAAATACGTGCGGTATCATTTCTGAAAGGAAATTTTGTCCAAATAATATTTTTAAGAGGTAATTTTTTTGATTATCCAAGCGGTTTTAATAATATCTGGGAAAAATCAGGATAAACCGTAAGAAAAACGGGAAATTTACGAAAATAATGCTTTTATTATTTTTCAATTTTGTTAATTATTGTTATTCAGTTAAAAATATTCGTAGAGACTACCATTATATAACATAATATATATTGTTGAAAAAACATCACTATCAAGTGAACTGCGCTCAGAATCGCTTTTTCGTTAGCAATGGTTTATCTTTGCTTACAGATATACATTAAATTACATACGACAGTGGCTGCACCCGTCTCCATTATCTTAAGACGTCTTTTTTCATCCTTTTTCTTTATTATATGATCATACAGGTGTTAGTTTTATAAATAATATGGTAGAGGTGTAAATGTTAATATATATGTATTAATTATATATATACTTCGAGGACGATTTCTTTGGCTGCAACTCATGTTTACGTACAATCTAATATTTTAACCTAAAATAACGGAACTCATTTGGGTACATGATACAATTAAACCTACAAATGCTTTACGCTCGGTCTAATATTTGTATTTTATTTTTATATGAAACGGAATTTTCGAGATAAAATATTGACAAATACAACTTGATGATAACTCAAACTATCTTCCGATAAATCATCTAATTATCACAACGCAAGTTCAGTACAACGTGACAACTTGTATTGGGTGTGACGCATTCTACGAATTTATAATTTATAATATTTACGTTTGATTTCGAAAGAAGTGAAGTGTTTGAATCACAATCTGGAATTATGTGTATCAATATAAACGATATATTTGAAAAAAACCTATATGATTTCCGTGTTATAAAACTGATCGTACATTTTTAACTACAAATATGAAAAAATATTTCCATAGACGGTCCTGAGTCTGTAAAGAGGAAGGAAAATGTACGCAGGTACCGCATAAGAAAACAAATTGTTCCCACAATACAATTGGTAATTTTGTGCGCAAACTAATTGTCTTTTAGGTATTTTTGAGCAATCTCGGACCACCGATTTTTTTCATCATGATCTAGCGATTATCTAGACGAAAATTGTAGGTAACATTGATTTTGGTTTTTTTTTTTTCTGACCCATTTTTGAATCCATTAACGATCTTATTTAAAATATTTTTGAAATTTCACTCGTATATTGTCAACTATTTTTAACCCCTCTCTTCTTATACAAACCAGTAGATTCAAAAAGAGACTCTTGTCACCGAACATTTCAATATACATCGATACCACTCATACGTTGTACACGTATGTATCGGATTTATTACCCAAGCAAGTTTAAGATTTAGACCGAAGAGTAGAGAAGAGTCTTTACAATTTAATGTATCCTTCAGCTTATATAATTACAAATATTTGATGATCAAAAAAAAAAAATTTAAAACAAACTTTACTTAAAATCCTTCGAGAAAATCGATGGATCATGAAAAAAAAAATAATTATCTATATAGGTACCTAATGTAATTTGGTTCTACATGGATGTAACGTACACAATTCGGTGATATTATTAAATTATATACAAATGTCATATTATTATTACGTTTAATCCTTTCTACACGTGCATATGGATTTAGTTATTCCAGTTGTTATTCCATCTAAAATTAAACCGTCTCTATTCTGTGAAGGCCTCCTTGTCTTAATCTCCTCTCTATAATAACTAACCCCAAAGTCACCGCGCTTTCTGGCCAACTTGGTTTAATATTTTGCATATTAAATAATATACAAAGTTCCGTCGCTGATTTGTCTAGATTGTTATAATGTAATGCAGCACAATTAAGCAACTACATTTATTTGTAAAATTGTTTTGTTTTGCACCAGAAGGATTTAAGTGTTCGTGTACAAACATTTCAAATTTGATCAAAACAACAATATGTCAGATATAAACTCGAAATAATTTTCTTAAACCGATTTAACTCGTACGTAATATATTATTATACGTTGCATGTGTATTACACGATATTAAATTATTATAGTTTCTATTTTATTAAGTGACCTGAGGTTTCATCGGTGTCTATACCAGAACATCTCTTGAATACGATGAAATTATTCCATTTTTAATAAAATACTAACAATATTATAATATATAATAAATACCACTCCTTAATTAAGCATTTTAATTTCCCTACCTAATTAAATTATTATAGTCGAGTAACGATGATTTAAAATCCGAGGGGAGCTACTTAGCTACTTATAGTTAGTTGGTGAATTTGTTTAATTAGTTATTGTCAGAATATTTATTGACCTACATTTTATTCTGAATATACAATAATGGTGTTATAGTTATACGAGCCTCCCTAGAGAGTTGACGAATAATTATTATTATATAAATATAATGGCCGACAAAATTACGTTTACATTTAACGTGAAAATACTTAATCGCGAATATCTTAATAATAATAATAATAATAATAATAATAATAATACATAACTACTAAATCAAATAATTAATTACATTTTCCAAGGTTTTTAAAAATTGAATTATAAAAAAAAAAACTTTAAAACAATTATATGATTGTATCAATTCTATATGTAGGGTTTTTATAGGTATTAAATTATCTACTACAGATATAGGTAGGTATATTTGTACCTATAATTTTATCATATTTAGATAGATAAAAAATAAAAACTTAATATTAATAATAAGTTACATAAGATAAATAATTGAATCGTTTCTTTATAATAAGTTACACATTTATTTAAATAATATGGTAATACATATTATAATGTATAATTTGTATTCAAATTTGGTTTAATTTATTAATTAATTATAAATTTACATCAATCATACAACCTTTGTGAAAACTAGATGTTTAATGTATACCGAAGCCGGTACACATTTACTACTTTTAGCACTTATAATCAACCTTCACTAAAAATGTCAAGCATTTCTGTTTAGTTTAACAATCATATCCACAGAATATATCTGCCAAACACAAATTAGGTACCTACTTAAAAACATTCGCAGAAATAAAATGTCTAAATATAGCAAAAAATTCCTCAAATATTTTGAACATTCTACCGATTCTAGAAAAAACAAATGTAAACATTTCAAGTCTCTACAAATATTTTTAACAGATTCATAACAAAATATCAAAAAATTAAAAATAATAAAAATATTATTTTCGTAAATTTTCCCGGTTTTTGTACGTATTTTTTTTTTTTTTTTTTTTTTTTTTTTTTGATTTTGTTGAATTTTTTTCTGCTCGAATAATCAAAAAAAAAAAGACTTCCATACACACAGACTAGATTAAAAATGCAACAAAAAAGTTTCTCTTATCGTATTTTTATTGGAGCAATATTTCTGTTAGAAAACATAAAGCGTATACATTTACAATAAAGAATCATAACGCCATAAATTGATCAGTTTTCATTTTTGTCTTTTTCCAGTTTTCCCCAATCATTATATTATAAACTACTTGAAAAAAAACACCTGACCTTTCAATGTTCCAACTATAAAACATTTCCTTTCGGAAAAAGTTCTACACTTGAAACGATACATTGGAGCAAGTTTTTTGTTCGAAAAGTTGTTCACAGTCCTCCCCCCTTAAAAAAAAACAATTACTACTCTCAGAATCTAAAAAAAACCTAATACTGCTAATGGGTGCTCCATTGAAATAATTTGGATGATTGAAATATGGAATACATATATTTATTTAGTTTATATATGTACGCTTTGATAAATTATTAACAAAGTAATACGATTCTGAACGAAGTTTGACTAAACATGTTTTGAAATACATTAAATTTGTTCCAATATTGTTTTTCAGTATTTAATTTAATTATATAACACTTAGTTTTTTTTTTTATCACTTAGTACAATTTATTATGAACTTCGTGTTAAATATTCAAGCATTTCTTTTTAGTCAAACAATTTTGTCCACATAATACCTAAGAATTAAAAACTAAAAACTCAAAATTGTAAAATGTCTATCTTATAGTTTAGAAATGGGCATAACGATCAACAATTTTACTATGCCTAGAAAAGGCTGATATAAGTTTTGTATCAAAATTTGAAGTCCAAAAATATCTTTAACGGAATTACACAAAAACAAAATTGAAAATATATCCATTATTTCCATAAACTTTCCCATTCTTATTGCTCAATTATTAAGAAAACTACTAGGTAAATCAAAAAAATCAAAAACAGACTTACTTATTTACTAACTAGAAATGCAACAGAAGAGTTTTCTTGTGATTTTTTGGTTAAAGATTCTTGGCAGAAAATATTATTTTTTTTTGCAAATTATTAAAAATAATGAAACCGGTAATGCCGCGGTGGCATGCTGTAGTTATTTGTGCGTTTTTCCTATTTTTTCCAGTTATTTTTTGTGACTCAGAATTTAAAAAGAAAACACAACATTATTTTAAAAAATAACAAAATTGGGCGTTGTTGCGTGGAAAATGATTATGGGCGGGTAAGCGTACAGGTACTTCCGATTAATGATTCATGCATAGGAAATACTAAAAGTAAAATTGTTCCGACCTAACAATATGTGCGTTCGTAACAATATTATTACTATGTATTAGGAAAGGCAATATATTATTATAATCGTATAATCGGTCAGCAAAGCAAACGGTGGTCGTCACGAACAGATTACAATATAATACTCGTATTATATTATGATAATATTATTATAATAAAATACGAGTATTATATTATGATAATATCATTATGTTCGTAGCAAAAAATGATCAACTCATCCTGCAGTAGCGTATTTATAAGGAGGGGGGGGGTGATATGATAGTCTACCATACCGTTGGTCGATGGATATCTTCCATATTAAAGTCTTCGGTATATTTCGATAGCCTTTGATAAAACGATTACAAATCAAAAATGAATCCGAAATTTTTCTTTTCAATTTCAAGCTTTTTTGGAAAAGTGCTATCGAATAGTGTGAAGCTAACGTGTAACAAAATTGTACGGGAATTTTACTTTGACGGTATTATACGACAAAGTGTATTATTTGTTATTTTCTTTAGCAGTAGTAAATTATTTAACTTGACTTTGATCAAATACAGACATCGATTAAAACTCAATATAAAATGTAAACGCAGGTATATATAAAAAGAATTTTAAAGATATTGAAATAAGAAGTGATTCAAGTGGAAAATGTGCGTAGAATATTTTACGTCCGTATAGAATAAAAGTGAAAACATATGAATTTAATAACTGAAAGATTTATGGGTGATGAATAGACGTGAAAAGTTACACAATAAAGTATAAAGAACCATATGAAGATAAAAAAAAAAAAGTAAAAAGCGTAGTAATAATATTACATATTTTATAAATATTTCAAGCAGGGCTGGTCCCATTGAAAAATCATAAAATAGGCATTAACTCAACAAATCATAATATCGATTTAAATTAAAAGTATGGGAGAATGTTTGGAAATATTGTAAATAAGTACACGATTAAATGATTGATGATTGAAAAAAACCGAAATAAATTTTATTTAAAATCTTCATAGTTGTAATTGCTAGATCACGATTAAAAAAAAAAGGGTAAAAAAATGAGTGAACATGGTCTGTTAACTTAAGAATCATTCACCATACATTTAACGGATTTACTCGATTTATTGCACTTTATATTCTTATTGCCTATCGTCCTATCGCCTATGAGGATTTCTGGTTATCTACCTAAAGTGAAAATCAGATCGAATTCACTATCGGTGCATAGGTAGTCAAACCATCAAGATCAATGGAATATTTGATACCACACCATTCAGATATGAAATTAAGAAGCGAAAATGAAAACAAACATAATATATAATAATTATTAATAATAATAACCTTTATTGCAGTATAGATTTTTACACTTCGCTCGGAATCAATAAACTACAATCGTTATAATACGGTGTTGTCCACTGTAAAAAAAAAAAAAAAAAAAAACATATATATATGTTTGACCTACATCTGGTATATTTTTATGACAAGGCAATGGAAGACTATCGTCCTGAAAACATCTCTCGATAAAAAATGCAACGGTCCCTTTACGAATAATGCATTTTGCACGTAAAACGAATTCACATTCAAGGACATGAAGGAACAGTATATAATATTATAAAGTTTTACAATACTGCAGGAATTTCGGCAGTTATATGAAAACAGTTTTGATTCAGATTCTAAAAAATATAACTTATGTTTACACAATATTGTATATTAGTTTTGCGATTATATCTCGTCGACGGATTGACGGAAATTAAATATTTCAAGACCAAAATTTATGTTTACCAATAATCCATCTATTTATGAATTTTTTTAATATAGGTTTCCATTTTCAAATCATAAGTAGAAAGTGGTTTTACCCCCAAAAATAAAGGTGATGAAAAATAACCTTAATGTAAAATTGTAGAGTTATTTTTTTCTTAAATAATATATGAAATAAATTCCCAAAAAAGTTCATGCTTTTTGAGATAATAATGAGTGTTTTACGATAGATTGATCACCCTGTATAGATTCATTCATCTACTTAGGTGTGCATATTCTTAGATCTCTGTCATCGATAGATTTAGCTGTACATTACCCTCTGATAAAGATAAACAAACGGATAAACAATTCCTTTTTATTAATATAAAATATAGGCATTTTTAAATTGCAATATTTCACGTAATTATATCTCACTTAAAAATCAAAGTACCAAAAAAAAAAAAAAACTAAAATTTGTACAGATAATGTTCTTATCTCTAAGTTTGGTAACAGATTAATTATTTTTATTATTCATTATTATTCACTGATTATTCACTCCAATATTAAAACTAGCATCGCACAGTTGTCTTTGCTACATGAAAGTAAAAAATGTAAAACAAATTGTTACCTAGTGTATTTGTAAGACAAGAGACAACACATGCGTGGATCGGTGTAACCCATACGCCTCCCATCGATTGTTTGTTTTTTTTCCCAAACGGCTCCCGTCGAAAAAGGTTGCATCAGTAGGTAAATTACCAAACGGCTCCGCTATTCGGTACTACGCGTACATTTCTCGTAGCAAAATAAGTACAGATGAGACGCAGAAAACATTCGTGTCATATCTTACTTTTTATGATAAAAAGTTCTATTGAATCTATACAATTATTGGAGTTTGGATTTTACGTTTCAAACGAAATGTGTTAAATTAATTTTATCTAATTTATCGAATGTTATCAATTTTGTTTATAAAATTTAACCAGATATGCGTTATGGATATGACACTTTTTGTTTATTTGTGAATTTGTGTTGTAAAAAACCAAATACTTTTTGTAAAACTGGAGCTGTCTAGAAAAATCGAGAGCCAAATGGGCTATGTCTGCGTGGATGTGGTGTACGCACGTTGATTTTTTCGTTAAATATTTCAAAAAAAAAATTACGGTATTAAGTCAAAACGCTTATTGCATAAATTATAATATAATATACGGTATGGAATATCTAAAAATTGAACCTACTCGTATATGCGGTGGGGCGGTATATTATTATAACGATATAGTTATGTATAGGTACAAGGGGTATGGCTTAATATTTTTATTTTTGGATTACCGGGCCTTTTGTTATTCGTTCGATTGCACAACTATTAAACGTAATCGTATAAGACTGTTTTTTTTACGAACGGAATCAATGCGCTATGATCGTTGAAAAAAAAAACAAACATTAAGTATCCATACCTAATACATAAGACTAAGAACCTACTTATATTGTAATATATTGTTCAATCTACGTCTGCGGTTTTGACAATAACCGATACTGATCACCGCCATATAACAAAAATAAAAATTACACTAGATAAGAATTCGTAATAATATAGTTATACTATGCGAATAACAATAAAATTTGTTTATAAAATTATCCGACGGGCTTATATTAATAGCAGTTAAACGTTTTGATAAATTATCACAGAATATATCATCGCACGGAAAAAAATGAACAAACCTATAATTAACTTGCGAATAGGTTTTAACTGAAATTTGCTCATTATCGTTTTTCGTTGGCATGCGAATATAAAAAACAAACAATTTATTGGTCAGTTAAAAAAATTCGTGTATTTTTTACTTTATTTTGTCTTTTAAATAGTATTTACAAAAATATTAAACCAAGAAAATCGTCAGATAAAATGCTCAGACAAAATACTGTTGCAAGGCTTATATATTTGACGGTTGACGCGTTTTTATCCTTTCAAAAAACGTCTCCTACAAAGACGACAAATAACTTTACTATCATTTCAATATAATAATAACATTGCATTTTCGTTTATGTGGATTTAAAATTTGATTATTCTTATCAACTATTAACTCGTATGTAATGCGGCTAAAATTGCGGCCTGTGGTTAAAATCAAAAAAAAAAGTTGCGTGTACCGTAAACGTAAAAATTTTTAAAAATCCAATAAAATTAGAAACGTTTGTTCTTTATATTAGAATAACATATTGAAAACGAAGGTATAACGAATGTGTAAAGTAGTTGCTGTACAAATATATTTGTATAATAATCAAACAATTTTTGATATTAATTTCAGTGCTCACCGTAAACGGACCGTGGTTAAACATATCAAAAGTGGACCGTTTGCAAATGGGCGCGTATTTGTGCATAGCTTCAAACGGAATTCCCCCGACAGTCAGTAAACGTATCATGCTCATCACACAGTGTGAGTGAAACTAATAATTATTTTCACACGTCTATATAACTAGGTGCTAAACACACACGCATGAATTAGTAGTATAATATAGCGTGTGGATGTGGTCGCATAATATTGTGTAGGGGTATTCCTTATTGCGGGATATCCACAAACTGGTCCCACCTGGTATGGCATGTGACCGTGAGGACTTGAACTACATTTACGGGAATTCATTATCACTAATTTTTCTGTGACTACTATCGAATACATTAATACGAACATTTAGTAGTTATCTATATTGTCACATTATATGCACTATTCCTGCTAGGTTGCCTACAACCAGATCCATGAGCAAATTTTCTGTGTAAATGTTTAATATATAATTAATTATAACCGAATTGGCACAATGCACCTAAACAATAGCAATCAATTTTACCTAAATTTGAATAATAATAAAAAGAAAAAAAAAAGATAAAATAATTCATGCACGTAATCGACTCGCAGTCTAATTCCAGCCTGTGAGGAGTATCTTGCATTGTGATTCTATATTAAAAGTAGTTTTATATTTGTGTGGTTTTTCCTCAAACAGTTCCTCCGACAATATGGGTACAAAATCAGCTGGTTGGTGCCCAAATGGATCAGTCGGTCACTTTAGAATGCATGTCTGAAGCGTTTCCGAAATCAATCAATTACTGGACGAGAAATAAAACCATCCTCATAACCAATGGTAAGTACCTAATAAAAACTATAAATATGATACATTAAATATAGTACGTTCACGCTAAGTTTTACCGCTAAATATTTCAGTTGAATGACCTAGTATTGAAATAGAGTTTTCGGGGAAGATAGGAAATACCAAAATACACATTTTCAGACAAATATCAAACTTTTAACTCTTTTGGTACGCGACATAATACAAATGATAACATCATTTTTTCCACAGATTCGATTAGGTTAGGTTTGGATAAAATTCAAATTAGAACCGCATTCGAATAGAGTATATTTTTAAAACAATTTTTGTAAAAACCATTATTTTTTCTTATTAATAAATTGAAAAAGTAATAATACCAGGTGATCCATTTAATTGAGTATACTTGTTATCTCAGAAAGTATTAACTTTTTCCGGAATTTATACGAACATTTAAGAAACAAGCTGCTCTACATTTTTATATTTATGTTTTTTTTTTGCCAACTTTATTTTTGTGGGTAAAACAACTACCTATCTACTTTTGATTTTGAAATGGCAATCTATATTAAAAATATCTATACATAGATGGACTATTAGCTAAAATTAATATGAGTATTGAAATTTTTTATTTCTGTCAAGCCGTTGACGAAATATTCAACTTTTAAGATTATGTAGGAGGAGAGTAGTGAAGTATCATTTGTGTAACATGTAAATAATATCTATTTTTGGATTTTTTAATATAAGTTGCCATTTGAAAATCAAAAGTGGATAGTGGTTTTACTCCCAAAAATAAGGGGGAAAAAATAACATAAATATAAAATTGTTGAACAGCTTGTTTCTAACGTATTCTAGAAAACAAATAGTTGAAAAATTTAATACTTTCGAGATAATGAGTGTACCAACTTAAAACGATCACCCGATATGTTGAAATTTAATATTGTTTTATAATTGTAATTATATTTTACAATACCTAAGGTAACGATTTATTACATTTATTTTGAAACAAAATATTGATGTTATAAGTGTTTGCTAATGTGAGGCATTACATTTTTGAAACTTTGAATTTTCCGAAAAATTTTTAATTTTTTCATTGTCTCTCATTATCTCGGAAAGTATTAACTTTTTCTACAATTTTTTTTCTAGATCACATAAGAAACCAGCTGCTCTACAATTTTATATTTATGTTATTTTTCGTCACCCTTATTTTTCGGAGTAAAACCACTACCTACTTTAGATTTTAAAACGGCAACCTATGTTGAAAAATAACAAAACACTTATCATAATATTCCAGGCGACGCATTGATTCATTTATTTATTTTTATTTTTATTTATATATTTATTTACTTTAATTTAAATTAAAGGTTCAAAGGTTTCAACTCGTTTGCTCAGACTCGTGTGATAAAAGTCGACATTACTAATAATAAATCATATTATATTATTATTAATACTCTTGTAAGATATCATATAAATATATTGTGATATAAATATTCTTTGTGAGATTATATCACATACAATATTTATACGTTAGAGAAATAATAATGCAGTAATAAATAATGTTATTATTGATTGGATCACTTTACTATAATATAGTTAGGTGGGTGTATAACAAAATACTCGGTTTGATTTCAACCGGATTTTAAATTGGGTGCAAAAGTTCCATGAATAATTGTATCTACCACACTAAACCAATATATACAATATTATGTGTCATCCAGAACCGTTCTCTGTACCCTTAATAAAATATATGGATACCGAAACACCCGTACACAGGTTCGTGCATAAAATAAGCGTAGGTATTGCACATAAATCGTTTCAAACGTTATCACAATAATATAATGGATATAATATTAAGGGAAATGTTGACCGTTTATTGTTATAATTTATTAGACATTTTAAATGCAATATTTTGTTTCTTATATAGGCGTAGTGACCACTTGAATATTAATTTGCTAGACATCTGTGAATGTACTGTTATTACACAAACTTGTTAACAAACTTGAATATGTGACTTTTCTAACCTAACCCTAACCTTCTGTATCTGTATGTCTAATTTTGAATTTTATTTTACATAATTTTGGGGAATTTTCTTTTTTAATAGAAATACTTTAAAAAAAAAACATTTCTTAATGAACCTAATACTAAAGGTGAATGCATCAAAATTTAAAAAGACAACATTTTAAACATTTATATTATTATTATACAATCAAAGTACTAATTGCAATTTACAATATATTTTTTTTTTTTACGAATTAATGCAAAAAGTACACGCGTGAATTTAATGCCGACGATAATAATAAATTATCATCGTTTATGATCATTTCATACGTGATATAGGAAGTAACATTATTACTATTGTTATTATTTTTATTAACCGTACGAAAAAAAAGATAAACGCAAAACGGCAAGACGGAAGTGAATTGGTTGAGTGCGGCATGTAGCGGTGGTGGCGATGGTGGGACCTTGACAAAATATCTCGATATAAATTACAATACTCTGTCACAGGGTGTGTACGTACTCTCCCCCCTCCCCCTAGGTGACAGTTTTCGGTTCGATGTGTTCGGGCACAATCGGTCCGATTGTTTTCCAGCTCGTTACGTTCGCTCACATGCGAATCCGTCACACCGGAAACGATTTTGCCGGAAGAAAACGGTAGCATACTACGGGACATCGATCATCATGTCGCGGGTTCCCGACGAGAATTTTTTTTTAACTTGAAACGGCTGCTCGACCCTGTTTCATCCACCGGCCAGTCCTCGGTAAAATACAAAATCGTCTGTGGTGTTTCAACAGATTATCATAGTGTCTGTGTATTAACTGATCAAATAATTGTATACTCGTATATAACGATATACATTTAACTTTATCATATATAACACTTGCCATTGACAGGACAGAACCTATTGTCTAAAAAAAAATTACCTCTATAAATAATTAACGTTTTTATACTTTAATTATACAATGTGTATCTTGGAGCTTTGAATTAGGCTAAATTACCATTAAAAAGTAAAATCCATTTCCCCCCACCTATAAAAAAAGAACAGTTTACAAAGCATTTAAAATCCCCACAAAAAGTAAAAAATTAAACAAAAACCATGGATAAGACAAAAGTATGGTGTCACTAGCCCCTGATTTAACAAGAAACAACAGACATGATTTTTGTAGTCATTATACCTTTCAGATTTGATTTATTCTGTTCATGCATGACTTTCGTGAACAGTAAAACCATCTCTTCATCCACTTTATAGTCGAAATTTTAAATTTAGATACAATTTTCAGGCACCAAATACCACACGGCTCTTATGGAAAATATGTACAAAACAAAAATGAAGTTGACCATATTATCGGTTACGTCTTCCGATTTCGGCCCTTATCAGTGTGTATCGAAAAACTCACTGGCTGACACTGACGGAAATATCAAGCTTTACGGTACGTTTTTTCATTAAATATATATGTAAGTACTTAATATAATGATCTACACTTTACTTTTCATAGTTTCCACGGGATAAGTATATAGGAATATTTGAATTTATTTGTATTTAGGTACCCCTATTTAAATTTAAAATTATTAAATATTTAACATTATTGAATTAAATAATTTTATTTACACGTAAGTATGAAATAGAAAACAAATATTAAATAATAAAAATAACTTTATGAAAAATAAAATTTAAAAAATTCAGCAAGATAAAAATAAGAGAATATATTTTGGCTATTCTCTTTAAATAGCATAAGAAAAATAAAATACTACACAATACTTTATTAACTATGTCCTACTGCTCCACTGTTGTGTATACACCTAATGTGTTTTGAAATACATGGCGCGGGGACGATGTGTAAGCGGTGTAGGCGTTTGGGAAAATACGGAAACTAGATGGACTATATCAGATTTAAAGACCAAAATAGGCAGTTTTCAGGAAGTTTAAAATACTTCCTAATGAGAAGCTTCAGATAAGCATCATTTGGGACCTAAAAAGTCCGCTTCCGCGACCATATAGAAGGATATTATGTAATTCGTTAGTAAAATATTAAACAATACTTTAGATACCGATTACCATGAGGAAAATATCGTCTAAATGTTTGTGTCTCTTATATAACAGTCATTATACATTTATATAAATTATTGTTTTCAAATATAATATATTGTGAAGTACAATAATGTGGATAAGTTCAATAAAATATCGAGACAGGAGAGAATAAATGAAAGACAGCTTTCTTTTTTTGATAAGCAACATACTCCAAAATCCACCACATGTAGTCACTGGTAAATTCAGTACTTTCCATGGGAGAGATTCACGAAAAAATTCGTGGGATAATTTGGTGGACAATAAAATAATTTGAGGAATCCGCAGGCTAAATCGTCAAAACTCTATACAGTAATAATGTTAAAGATTGAATTATTTTAATAATATTTAATAGTACTTTTATATATCTACAGATAAAATACAAACAAACATAAAATAAAATAAATATTAGGTCTACTAGGTCACAAGAAACAAAAATATAATAATAATATAAATTATAAATTATATAAAACTTAATGTGTGATAATTATGAATCAGTTGCAGATTTAGGGGGGACCAGGGGGTCTGGACCCCCTATACACTGATATAATTTCAATAAAATATCGTCCGAAAAAGAGGTATCTATTAATAGAGATACCTTTTAAATTGATATGATTTTTCAAGACCTCTTTCAGAAAAATGTTTAAAATCGGCTGTTGATTATGATTTTATGATCCGATAATATTCTTACAGGCCATACCTAATCATCAGATTTTTTTGATAGTACTTCGATACCTTACAACAATATTCTCTATCAATTGGTTAAAACATTATTATTATATCGGTTATGATAGTTAGATATTCGCTATCTGAATGAACTAAATGTTGAAAATAATAGAACTATTCTAGTTCTGCAGTGCTGCTAAGGGTAGTACACAATTTCCCAATCCGTTTAAAAGAATATCGATTTTTTAAGCTCATCACTCATGTTATTTCTACTGAAAGTTTCACTAAGTCACTTAATCTTTATTAGACCATAATTTTTTTTTTTTAAATTTAAAAGTACTTTGAAATAAATATCACAATGACAGTACGAGTAACCCACCAGAATGGAATTATTTTATTAATAATAAAATATTAGATATCGCGATTATTTATTTTTATTCTGGATTTTCAAATATAGTTAATAGATTACGCATTACAGACAGTAAAATTTATTTATAAATCAATATAATATGAAAAATGATTTATTTTCAATTTTCAAGTACGATGAAAATTTATGAAAAACTACTAATTGGTCTCTCATTAGCCTCTACAGACGATAAGAACCCCCCCAGACATAATAACATCAATCGGATGATATTAAACTGATATTACAACATTTCCATTTCATAAAATTACCTACATAGAACATATATATTTAAATTATTTATATGCTTTTAAATAATATTTTGACTGGTGGTTTTATTTTCAAAAATAGTTAGTTAACAATAAAATGTTTTTGTAGCAAAAAAAAAAAAAAAAAAAAACAACACAAATCACGTTAAAAAAATATAAGAAATCTATAAATTGCTCTAAAAATGTATACAATTATAAATTATTCTCTAAAGGTCTAAAAATATAATAGAGAATCTTTAAGTTATTGTATAAATCAGGTATTTTTTTTATTAGCCAACAAAAATATGCGAATATTAATAATAAATATTACCAGGGCATAGGTATTTAAAATACATTTCTAACCCAATGATAAATGATTTGTCATAAAACACGATAGATAAAACAAAAACACCCGCGAGTCAGAGAACTCGTTTACGAAATATTATATTAAAATATTCGAGTGTAGATAACCGAAACAAAACGGTATAACAATCTTTATTTTCGGAGAAAATTCGACAAAAGTCCGGACTAGAAAAAAAAATCCAAATAACACCCATTAATCGAGCATATTATAATATTGATACTAGTGTTTACTGTAAAATTTAATCCGTTTAATAATGTTTAATTTAGCGGGTAAATCAAAACTCGCGCGTAGTTTACGACGTTAAAACCCTAAAAGTTTCGGTAGATCGCTCATATTGTACACCGTTGCTAATGATTTTAATTAATAAGTTTATCTAAAAGAATCTCCCGTGGGATAGTACGAAGACAAATATATCTTTATTAACAACGGCTATAATATTACGAGTCGTCGAAATGGTGGGTTTTACGTTTCGTATACGTGAAAATACGCCCTCCGATACTTTTGAAATATTTCAATAAAACTCGGGTAACCTACAACTAGGTAAAAACAATTTTTTTTCCATGTTAAACAGAAACAAACAAAAAATATGTAAATATATATATATATATATATATTCAACTGACAATATTATGCTATCAGTTAATAAATTCTAAAAATCCTAACCCTAATAAATTACGTTCCTGCAAGTATATCCGTACGCTATTAAATTTGAACGGGATACAGACACCGGGACACGAATACCTATACTGCTCGGTGTACTTTCGTGAATAGAATCCCGGTGACTGGTTTAAAAACGTCCATAAATTATTACCCTAAAGAATTTAATGGACACTGTTGACACAGGTCCACTTGTCATGGATACAAGAGAAAAAATAGGCATAAAAACAGGAGAAAAATAAAATAGTTGAAATAATATAATACTTTTTTAAAGGTTATTATAACTACACTAGTCTTCTTAATATTTTATTGTTAAAAAAAAAAAAATCATCTTTAATATAATAAGCAACGATAACGAACACTGTTTTTTTTTTTTATCGTGTGTGTATAAATAATAGTAATCTTTTAAGAAGACGTGACAATGACAATTAAGACCCAGGATAGAAAAAATATTTAAAAATGTCAAAGATTTGTATTGTCAAATCGTCCTTAGGTAGATTTAAAAAAAAAATAAAATAAAAATAATAATTCGAATTTCATTATATTTAATTGTAATATATTGAGTTTCTGTTGTTTACATTTCATTAGCCGTGCACAAACAAGTATTATTCCCAAAAGATACGTCATGCTTTAATCACGGGTAATTCTGAAATTGATAACCTCATCACCTTTAGAGTATTATTCAGCCACTTTGGCTGTTCTAACGGTAACTTTTACATTCTCGAATTCGAGTAATAGTTTAATAATTTGCAATCGTAATGTTGTAGCCTGCTCCCGTATTATTTGTTTGGTCCCAAATAGAAAAAAAAAAACAACAGAAATTTGGGTCATATAGGAATGAAACGTGGGCGAAAACTTTAAAGTAGTTTAGAAAACGACATTTGGTAACTTACAATACCTAACTAATAAGACGTTCATGGAATAATGAAAAATATCCAATTATACTTTTATTCCCGGAGAAAAAACCATACGATTACCAATGAAATAAGTCTGTAAACGCTTCGTCATGGCCACTTCATCTCGAGGAATTTCATCGTGCTATCTATTTACGATACCGTTGTTTTCATATAATATACAAATTATGATGAATATTTTAATTTTTTTTTCACAACTTATTTAAATCTTGATAATAAATCAATTAGATACGATACTATTTTTGTGATATTATAGATAGGCCAGTATTATTTGGTAAAATATGGATTGGTTAAATCCGGATTCTTCGTATCATTGTAATGTATACGCGAGCGATAAAATAGCCAATTTTATAAAATAATAATAACAATAAATATAACCTACCTAAAGACTTCATTCTGAATAAACGGTTTTAAATCTACATAACCCTAGCTGTGGCACAAATTGATAATATCTCCAGTGACGAGATATAATGCGATGAAGCGCCTGTAAATCAAAACAAATCTCATCGTTTTTTTTTTTTTTCAAAATTTAAAAAATATATCATTTATTTTCATTCTACTTTGTGTTCATTGATTTTCAATAATTATTTTCTAATTAAATGGCATCCAGCATTTTATCGCGTCGAAATTAAAATATTATATTATATCGTTTTAAAACCTATATAATATGAGTAGCAAAATCGCAAAATACAATGCGGGCCAAATACCATAACGTGTAAATAATAAAACGAATATTTTTACTTTTCAAAGAGATACCCAAGCCGACCACGACGACGACCACCACGACGACTACAACAACTACTACTACCACGACCACTACAACCACGGAAGCTACTACGGCGACGACAGAGAAGCGGGGCACGACCGTTTCCGCCAAAAAATCGTCAAAATTCAGCGATAGGGGTAAATATAATTAAAAAAGAGCTGATACTGGGGAGGGGTGGAGCCACTCTTGTAGGTGAGTAGTTGAGAAGGTGGGACACGTATAGCTATTTAATTTATACCTGTAACCAACGATAAACTATTGCTAACGAAAAATGATTCGGAGTGAAGTCCAGCTATTCATATTTTGAGCGGCCGTAAAATGTACAATTTATGATTTGATTTTCAAACTTTTGTGAAAAAAAATCTTCATTACATTCAATTTTTTTGAGGAGCCACTAATAAGTATGACTTATGATAAACATCCTGTCAAATGTTCAAGCATTCCTATTTAGTCTGCAGAGTACTTACAAAATTAAAATTTCTATAAATAGCTCAAGTGATTTGAGAATACTATCATATACATAAAAAGCAAATATAAGTTTCCTATTAAAATTTCAAGACTCTGCAAATATTTTTAACTGAATAACATTAAAAAAACGAAAGTTAAAAGAATAGAATAATTATTTTCGTAAAGTTTCTTGTTCTTTCTACGTTTATTCACAACTTCCATGCTAATTAAAAATGCAACAAAAAAGTTCTTTTGTCGTTTTTCTATTTCTTATGATAGAAAACATAAGTTACAATAATAACAACAAAGAAATGAGTAACGCCACGCGTGCCTTAAATATTTAGCGTTTAGCTATAATTTTCTTTCGGACTTTTCTCAATTATTTCGAAAACCTATAGGAAAATCAAAAAATGACATTTTTAATGCACTACTTAGAGATAATGTCCTCTCGGAAAGGGTGCTATACTTAAAACTTCGATACAATTTTGCTGGTAGAAAAGATGCTCATAGACACAAAAAAAAATAAAAAAATAAAAGACGTATATAACAGTGAAACAAATAGATACTATGTTTCATTCCGTATCTAAAAAAGCACCCATAATAGCATAAAACTAATAGATACCTCTCTACACTCCGAATCCAAAAAAATCCAAAAGCATACATCGTAGTAAACCCAAATTTAATACAATAGAAAAAAAAGATTTCTACAATAATAATAATAGGCATTTTCTGGCGATACAGTTTTTAGTAATCAGTTTACAGCATTGATCATTGTTGTTTGTTACTCGGCACACGGTTGCTATATCATTAAAATATTTTGTTTACTGTACAATATTTTACCAATCGACATAACCAGTAAACATAGCTTTTAGTATTGTTTACTGATTCAGACAACCTGGTTAATGAAAAATGCCTTCGGTAATCAAATAATTGATGCAGTAAATAATATCACTGAAACAACAAGCCTAGGTCAAATTTTCGAAAAGATTAAATTACACTACCTACTCAAAAAAAAAAAAAAAGAATAATAATTATTTTAATTTTTTAATAATTTAAGTAACTTGTAATTTTAATGAAAAAAATTAATTTATTTCAATTAAAAGTTCGTTAATGGAAACATTATCTAAATAAGAAAATTTACTTTGATACAAATTACTGAGGTAAGAAAAAAACCCCAAATAATATTTCTTTATAATTGCCTGTATTTTTAATTTACATTAATTTGATTATTTTATTGTAAATATAATCAGTTTTATCAGACATAGATATAGATGTGATAGATGTGCACTTCTAGATTGGGAACATATGTCTGAAAATGATAAAGATCCGACAAACAATATCTGTCCGAAAAGTAGTGAAAAGTTTACTGTCAATCATTATCGACGAAATTCCCGTGACGTGCAAAAACAGTTCGCTCAATGCAAAAAAAAAAAAAAAAAGTATCAAATACCTTTGATTATTTCTGAATCTAACGTCAACGTGTTACGGTTGTTTTATGGAAATGCGTTACTAGTTAATGTACTGAGTCGGTGTGATAACAATGTAATTAGAGCAAAATCACGGACACAAACGTCACTTACACATCGAACTTCTAACATTCCAACAATACCTATAGCCAGTGCTCAGCCACGGAGAACAGTTTGTTCCCAAAATCTATAGTAACCGGGTCGCTGGAAACTGTGTCGCCGAATAACAATTCGAATACCTAAGTAGTAGTTTGTTTCTGTCTATACGTTTCCGCGTCGTCGTATCCGTTTTATCGACACGCGCGTTTATGTGTAATGTACATGCATACATACGTATAGGTACCTAAATATGTGTTCTTTGGCCGGACGCCCAGAAAAGTTTTGCTCGCAGAACGCGTGGCGTTAATATTATACGCGTGCACACGGTCTATAAAATATTATTATTATGTACAATATAAGTTTATGTATAAAATATATATTTTCCGGATATCGCGCCGGTGACCTTTTTTTTTTTTTTTTTCCACCCGTCGGGATTTATGTGCGCGCATTTGTTGTTTTATTATTATTATTTGTTTTTTTTTTTTTCCATTTTTCCTCGCGGTGCACGTTCGAGTAGCGCCCGCCAACGAAGTGGCGAACGTCCGGAGACCGCCGTCCAAGGACAAGACCGGAAAACACAGAGACGCCGCCGGGAGCCGAGATCCGGGCAAGGACCAACCGAGTTTGTCCGGGGCGGCGAAAGCGTCGAAAGCCACCGGTAAGACGGTACACACATAGCGAATATATAGTCCGCCGCGTTAAACTGTTTATACGCGAGTGACCGACGCCCGCAAAAAAGCGCGTCGTTAACATTATATATATATACATACGCGTATAAACGTATAATACTTATACTTGCTTTTATTATTACGTATTATAATGTATGCGGAACAGACGAGAAAACAAACGGTTCCGGTTGATTTGCCGCGACCGGATCGACGTCCGGGGCGTGATGCGGCCGGAGGGGAGCGCCGTCGCGCGAGATAGGTTCGCGCGACCTTTTCCCCTCGTTCCGCGCACACTGTATAAATCCGCGCGGACGGCGAGAGCGTTTCTCTCGACGCCGCCGCCCGCCCCACGCCGCTCCCCGCCGCACCCGTCGCGGCGACGACCGCGCGAACTATTTGCGGTTCCATTATTGCCCGCGTAGGTGCGCATTTTAGATTTACCGTATTCGGAATTTTTTTATTTTTTTTTTATTTTTCGATAACACGCACAAGGACGTACTCGACGGCGGCCGGCCTATATATATTATTACGGCCCGGTCGGAAAAACCCGATTTTCCGCAAATAAAACGCACCCGCGCGCCGGCAGTAAAACCGCAGGGACCCGCGAACCGCACGGGCACTCCGTCGTACGTCCGACGATACCGAGTCGACGGGTCCCGCGGGGCGCGGCCACGGTCCGCGGACAGTATTATTATTATTATTATTGTTATAACAGTGCGCCGTGTCGATTTCGAGACGTATATATTATTGTTATTATTAAAAAGCTATAAGCTATCTCGGTACGATACTTGTATATATATATATTATATAAAGTAAATAAACATAAATAAATATAAGAAAAAAAAAAAAAATGCACGCGTAAAAGTAAAATTTCATAAACGAATCCACGCGTCGCCCGGAGCACTGTACGACCGGTGTCGTAAATTGAAAATCCGTCGTATCGGTTATGGTATCACGGTCGAAATTGTAAAACGCGGCTCCGACTCTGTCGACCGCGACGCACCCGAACGCGAATTTCCGATTCGAAACCGGCCGTACACCGCACTCGTCATAATACTCCAGGCGACGCGTGGATCCGTTTATTTATTTTATTTTTGTGTACACGTTGTTCTCATTTGCGTATACATTTATACGAGTGTTGACCGTTTTGATAATTTTGTTTTTACATTATTACTGCGTTATACATTGCGTATACCTACACGGCACCTAGGTCCCGTATGCACGGTCTTTAAATGGAAATCTAATGCGTCCGCCGTCGCCGGGACGGGGCCCACTGTTATCGTTTCCCGCGGACGTTTTTCATATCGGCGGGGTGTGCGTTCGACGAGTCTGCACTTTGGCGTGGCTCTGCGTAACGTCCGGACCGTACGCGATTTATACTGTGGCGTACCGCGTGTGTACGTATGCACTGGCCCAGCGCTTTTTTTTTTCTCCCCGACGACGCACGAACGAACACTTTAACGGATAAAACACCCGGCGCGTGATGTAAACAAGTTTCATAGCGCCGGTTGTGATAAACGACGTCAGTGTTACCTACAACTGGATTTAGATCCCAATGCAGGTACACCGTGCGGTAATATTATTTGACGTGACTGTTGAAATAAACAACGGGGCCGGACCGTCGTATTTAACTCTTAAATAAATACCGATACCGAACCGCAGTTTAAACGCACAAACTCGAGAGAAAAAACGTTAGAAAGGGAAAAGGCCAACATTCACCAGTCTTCTATTATGCGATTTTCGAATTGTCTCGTTTCCAACATTTAATGTGTAATTAGTGTCAATTTTCGCTATCAAGTTCAGAATACGCCCGTAGTCATTCCAAACAATTTCGTTTAATAAATACATCTTTTCTGAAAGGTATATTTTCAAATTATTTTTACAAGGAGTTCATACGGAATATCGTTGTGTATTCCTATAACAGTAGATGTTTCAGTATAGGTTTACCGTAATAATACGTGCAAATATGCTTGACCAATACATGCTTCGAATTCAAACGGTACTCTTCGTGCGTAATGCAAATAAACGGAGCGAACACAGCTTGAATAATAATTGTACATTTGATTTGAATCGTTTCTCGGATTAAATAAAAACAAATATGTTTGTTAAGTTTGTTTTATTACAAAGAACAATGTTTATTCAATAACTATTATTTTCAGCCATTTAAAAAAATATGACGAAATACAATATTATATTTTTTGCTAGCAAAACCCAAACGATAAGTACCGATTTTAATGGAAAACTGTACTAGACATAATTAATGCTTAGCTTTAGTCATTTAAATCGAATAGCATATTTCATATTAATGATTGATTTTATTTTTCGTATAAGACTTCTGCGGTGTACATTTATAAAGACATAAAGGCAATCAATACAAAAATCATAACTTTTTCGGCCATATAATTTTCTCGTTCTTCTCCCACATTAATGTGTGTATGGAAATGGTACTTTATATGATTTAAATTATATGCATTTTATTGTGTATAAAACGGCCCTGCCTACGGTATCTGCAACTGTTGTATAGGCTTGGAAGAATTTAAGTATGCTGGGAGTAAGTGAGCATAAAGTAAGTTATAAAATATAAAGTGAAAACAATATTATTAAAATGGTTAATACCCGTAAATAAATATATAAATAAAAAATGTATGTAAAAGAATACAAAATTAAATGTAAAAGTAAATGCTTTTGTTTGGCGAACCCAGAGAAATAGTGACTGCTGGGGTGGTAACGCACACGGCGCATTATATGCCTGCCTGCTTCCCACATCGACGACTCCCACTTGACCGTCACATTAGCTTAAAATTGATTAATATTGTGAACTAATGTGTCAACATATTGTAAGTTTAGTGAAAAAAAAATTATAAAATTTTATTACACTATAGCATTAAAGAAATACAGCCTAAATAGGTATTTCTATATTTAAGTTTAAATCCTTCAAATTTCATATAATTGATTTAAAATAATAATATCATCTATCATCATTGATAAATATTAATATTTTTTCGTTTAACTTACATGACAGTGTATATACCTGTATACAAGTTATACAAAACTCTGCAATAAAAAAGAAGATTCGAATTAATAATATACGTACTTTATAAGCCCAATAAAGATATTGTTTTGCTTATACGGCTCAGTGGACCCCCTCTATTACGTTTATATATACTCTGAATTATGATTTTTGCATGGGCAAAAAAAAAAATAATAATAATAATAACATAAAAGATAACAATCGCTAAATTAAGTAAAAAAACAAAACAAAGCAAAACATAAATTTACGCATACTTGACAACAATATAATTAAAGCATGATATATTGTTGGAATTATGAGGTAAGTGCATATTTTAGAACCGAAACTGAAAATGTATAGGTACTTTGAATATGAAAAAAAAAAAAATCGCAAATCCTTATAATGCATTATATGATTGTATATAAGCGCTCTTTGAAGTTTATAAATATTCCGGTCGATATCAAATTGTAAAATAATACTGGTTTATATATCAAAAGTACTTAATAAAACATCTACGTATTTTATTATAGCATTAAATATAATTACGGTGTGCTTAATATTTCATTTTGCGGTATAAAATTATTGTTAAATTAAAAATGCTGATCAATCAGCGTGTGACACACATCATCTCGGAATTATAAAGTTTTTAATTTTTTTCTAAAAATACCTATGTCACATCCCCCATATTTTCCGACATTATGTTTGAGGGTGTAATCACTAAATCGCCTTTAAATGGTCACATGTTATTTATGTATGGTTTCAACAAACTAATATTAATAAAACAATTTAACCGTTTACTGATTGAAATCCTGATAATCCGTTTTGTGAGATAAAACTCTGTTGAAATACATAAAAGAGCCACTCGAATAATCAATTAGCGAACATCGCCCGGAGATTAACAGATCTACCGCTGATTTCTAAATAGTGTTAATATTGTATTCGCGAAAATTATAAACATAAATGTGTTATTATTATCATTATAGTACGATTAGTACTGCTAACGATAAGGTCAGTCACAATCGTCCACGTCTACTGGCCGGTTTTTATATTTTCAAGGGCTCTACGTTTGGAAGAATAATAGGAAATGGCTGAAGGCTAGCAGAAGGCAGAACAGCGCTATTTAATATGGTTATTCATCGCATTTTGGAAATACGTCTTTATTATTATTTACGATATTGTCTGTACATTCCACAATGGTTCTGTTTGAACGTTTTACCTGACATTCGTGACACTAGGAAAACAGTTTGAGTACCTAGCCCTAAAGATAAACGGCCGATAAGCTAGTGACGATTTTTATTCAGTCTTCATTGTTTCTACAATAAATTTGATAATTAATAATATGATAAATTAGTTATCATAGCTTCTGAAAAAAATTACGCAAGCTACTCGCGAAATGAACCAAACTTTGGCGATGAATGGCTATCGGATGCGTGTACGAAAAAACTCGTATTAATATGTATTGTTGAAAGTTAAGATAAAATATTTTAGAGCGAATTTTTACTTGAATTGTTTAAACAAGAATATTCCAAAAAAAAAAAAAAAAATCGATATTATCTGAGATAATATGTGTCTACACGTGATACATTTATCATGTTGTGTAGGAAATAATATTCCGAATCACAGTATGTAAAATGACGTTCATTAAGTATCTTTTTGGGCACGGCCCTATTGTACTGTTTTATGTAATTATTATTTATTTCATGGAATAGAAATAATAATATTGAATATTGAATAAAACCTGCTAATAAACATTATGTATATTTGACGAACGTGATGTCATATAATACTCGCAATATTATATTAATATCAGATATAATGGGTTCTTATCCAAAGGACCTACCTATAAACTTACTACTTACGATGTTTAAAAGTTTTTAAGTATTATTATATACGTTCAAGGTTTGTTAGAACTTGTCTTACAGCTTTAGACACAGTAGTAATATAGTCAGTAATAACCATAGTAATTTTAAAATATGATGTTTTAGAGACGATTAACAACGAGTATTAAAACACTCGAGACGTTTTAATATTAGAAACTTAAATTTTGCATTGTAAGAAATTAAGTATTAATTAATTAAGTAATTAAATTTGCAAAAACATTTTAATATTAAAAGCTACATAATCCATAAACTCATTTTAATATTTAAAATAAGTTTTCAATTTTTATTTTTTGCTGTTATTTAGTAGTTTTTATTTATTAACCCGTCTTAGTGTTTTATGTAATGATTTGTAATGCTAATATTTCATCGAATGAAAATCACTAGAATTTTACTATGTATTGATAAAATGATTGTTTGTATATGAAATAATTTCATTTGAATATTACATTTTGTGAAATAGTTCAAGAATAAATAATAAATTATAGTAAAATTAAAATTCTTTACAAAGCCTTTAAACTGCAAAATATGCACTTAGTTGTCGAAAATGAAATCGACCAAAATTAATATATCGAATAAATAAAAATATAATCAAGAAATAGAACTTTTCCTTTACGTGTAAAAATGTAAATATTTAATATATTTACGAGTGTCAATGACAAGACAAGTATCATATCTTCTTTTTCCAAAAGAAAAGTTTTAAGTTATTGAACTCCTAACAACATTTATTTTTCGTTTAAATAAATGGACAAAGTTTATAAATAGATAGACCATAAAAAAATATATACTTCCGTTTATATAGGTTTTGTATTTATTAGCCTACATTACCAAATGATTTATCCAATCGAACGTGCATAGGGTATACAAATCAAAAGTGCTTATTTATATAATATGTATCATACAAGTCAAAATCATAAAATCATTAAGCTTTCATCAACTATCTATCGCAGAAATGATTTAAAAACATACAAAAATATCGTATGAAAAGTTGATATCGATCACGGATAAACCACTATATTATAGGTGGGAATTTAAGAATGTTTGATACACTAGGTAGATAGGTTTATATACTGCATGCAACGATGACTAATTGTAAATGAAAAAATATTCTAAGAGGAGTAGTATTATTCATGTTTTTTCCCTTATTACCAAGACAACCGAGAAATAATAAAAAACATTTCTACTGCACACGACTTTTAAAAATGTATGAAATTCATTTGTTTTTTATAATACAAATATATAGGTAATACATATTAGGTTTGTGTTTGTTTGGTATTTTTTAGAACTCATTTTGGCATCATACACCTTTTTAACTAGGACTTTCTTTAAAGATAACTTTATTCTGTCTTTTTTTTTCCCCCTGAAATCACATTCCTTTATTATAACATGTTATTACAGATTGTAAATTTATGTTTATACGCTCTTATAATAATATTATATAAAAAAAAGTTTGAATTTCTGGTAACGTAAAATGAATTCATTTGTTAGTTTTAATTTTAATAGTTTAAACAAATTTTAAATAATATAATGGCAAATTGTATTATTATATTCTAATTTAAACAATTTTTACACTGTATAAGATGCAAATTCGCATACAACTTTTGTTGAATATAGTATGTAGTAATGTTGTTATTCAAGTAATCTTGAATAACATTTTTCATCAAATATTAACATCTAAACAATTTATAACAAATAAACCAATGAATGGTATATAGTATATACTAAAATAATTATGAACAAAATTAATAATAGTAACCATTTTCAAAATAATTTACAATTTTATTTTAACTTTACGTTGAAAAATAATGATTTAATGACTTAGAAGTCATTTCACAAGATAATTGGTTTGATGAGCGACGAGACTCCACGGAATAAGTTGGTGTACTAATTTGCATCAAGTCTCATAAACAATGTGGAATATTAATTATTTTTTCTATCACTCAAATTTCAATTTAATATTTTCAAACGTATTAATATGTATTACTATATTGAAGAACGGTACATATGGGTGGGGAGACGTAAGCATAACAAAATATCAGTACCTCCAATATTTAGAAGAATCTATTGGCGTGAGAAAAGAGTAATCAAAAGTAAATACAATTAAAAAAACTCAGCTCCTCAAATTACATAAAAATTTGTTTCGTGGCACGAATTGTTCAATGGGTCAGCTAACATGATGTAATTCTGCAAATTTCACCGTGAGCACCTATGTGACCGTCATTTTAATTGTCACCGAAATACTATCTTTAATTGTGATTATAAATAAGAAAAATTTACCATTACTAGTTCGAGAAGTCTTAAATAATAATGTTCAGCCCCAAAATTCGATTTTTAGATTAAAAAGTTGTAATTTTGTGATTTACCTTCAGACCCATTTCAAACAATATTGCATTTAATAAGTCTAACAACCGTACAAGTGTTTCGAGACAATTGACATGTTATCGAGGAGCCGAGATTTTCTACGTTATAGATAACTTTTACATACATTCTCCTCACGTCTATAAATTTTTAAACGGCGCCATATAACTTATCTGAAAAATACCAAGAACGGCTTGAGTTCATGGGTTACGACGTAGTAAATTGGTACGTAGACGACTTTCAGAACGATCAGATTTGTAGTAATCGGGGTTACTACTATTTCTTTATTTTAATTATCTTAGTCTCCTCGTCGGAGATACCTGTGTATATTCATATTTTAAAACCATTTTATTTTATGTTTCAAGATATGTAATACGTAATTTAGTTATATTCATAAAAGTAGATTTTCACTCGCTTAATTTCATTTACGAGAACGGCGGCATAGTCGTTCTCGCAAAGGGTAATAAAACTACCAAGGCCAAAGAAAATCGTACGAAATGTAGGTATAACTTTAAAATTGTAAATATGACGTTTATAAAGTAGTATGGCCTTTGCAAATATATACAACCAAATTCCGCTCAGAATCGTTTTTCGTAAGGAATAATTAATCTTTGCGTACATATATACATTAAATTTCTCTTCTATCTTCCCAACTTCTCATCAAAAGTGGCTCACCCATGTATGTCCGTTTGTTTTTTATACTTGTCATATAACAACAAATATTATTATTATATTATTATATATACGATACCGTTTGTTTTAATTTGTCACTGATGGTCGGCTAGCGACAGCATATACGGTTTCTGTCGCGTAGACAAAAAATAATTGTTTTAAAAAACTATATTCATTTTTGCGCGTTATACCAATTGATCCAGATATGCGATACGAATTTTAGAAACATATTTTAAATCTTCATGATCGGCTTTTCTTATTCTTTCTTATTCCTTTCTATTCTTATTTGAATGTGGCCATGCCCAGTGTAACATGTCTCTAAGGAGGTCACTTGATCTCTATTAGTCGAAAGGCAAGTATAGTACCATTTTTGATTATCAACATCTAGAATTTTAGATCTTTAAACAGGGCATCTCTCTCGAGTGTATGATTATTGCATATTTTAGAAATTATTAACTTTTTCGTATAACAAAATAGTTTTAGTAAATAGTTTTTTTCTATTTAAGAAACAAGTATTTCAAAAAAAGTTATACCATCGTTTCTTGTCACCCTCAAATTTGAGAATTTTTTTTTTGGCACTTGTAGGTTGCAAAATTTTGAACCCGTATTGCCATTCTTCTCTTTCTTTTTTTTCTTATTCACGGCCTTGAAAGACAACATTGACAAACAGTTTAACTTGTTCATAGTTCTGAATCCAATGTTAATAATTCTCTCCAATATATTTCTGGCTTTTTTCTTTCTTTTTGTATTGTATTTGATGTTCTCTCCTTGTCCATGTTCTTTTAACTTTAAGATTATACTATATCAGTGCCGCTTCTTCCCTCCATGAATTTTCTGTACTCTTGTCCATTTTAGTCGTATATTCAATAAAATTGCTTGTACTATACCCGGTCTGTGACACAGTTTTTACATGTTTTAATTATTTGTTTGTTCTGATTCTGCACTATATGTTTATTTATCTATGCGCGGACCAAACATTTAATTTTTTAATTTTTGTTCTCAAAAACTTACAATTTTAATTTACTTTTGTGATTTACATAGTGTCAATGCTTTATAAAATCATAACCATTTATAGAGATAGTTTTGCGTTTTCCGATTCCTAGCGCTCTTGTACGCGAAGTAATTTTTTTAAACTAGAATAGCATTGATTTCCTGAATTCTTGAAATCTTGATTTAATTTAAGTTAAAATTGCTTTTTTTTTGTGTAATAAATGAGCCAAAATATTAATTTAATTCGTGTACTCTTTTAAATAGTCATTAACTTTTAAGCATCTGTCTGTCATCATGTTCGGTCCAGGTGCTATTTATATATTAAGACGTGTTTTATTTCCGATTATCACCGTCATTATTTATTGCGTTACGCAATTATAATAATGTTTTGTATATAATTTTAAGGGTTTAAAAACCCGACAATATCGCGTGTTAAAAAGATAAATATCCTGGTTTTGAATCAGTGACGATTATATACGAACTACACTGTTATATTATAATAGTGCGGGGTCGTTAAGCCGTATACAGTGAGAATATTAATTAGACAAAATAGCAGTCTTCTATATAAGGGTGACTCTACGAGTAAAGTAATTAATTTCACAAAGTACCTACTTGGACGGTAGTCGCGCTGGCGCTGAGAACCATTTGCGAATAATAATTGTATATTGTCCTCAGTGACTTGCGCACGAAATCTATATTTGTATATACTATATACATATAGATACATACAAACTAGATGTTACTCGCGATATCTTCCGGGTAGACTTCTATAATGCCTTCTCTACGAGGTGTATGGAAGGTAAATATTATCGATAGAAAATAAATGAGCTGATAACTGGTGACAGGTCTTGGTCGGTGGACACCTAATTACCAGATAACAAGTGGATTTATTAAAAGGTTTTTTTTCATTCACAGAAACATTTTTCGGAATCTTATAATAAACATTTTTTTTTTTTTTCCGAAGTCCCAAAGATGGGATATTTTACAAGATAACCTTCATTTATTTTTAAAGGGTTATACTGTAATAGTACTATAAGGGGGGTCTTCAAATCGGGGTCCAGACGCGTTGGTTATTTTTTGATAACCTATCGTAATCTGGACAACGTATAACGCCGCGTAATGATGGCAGTTAGTAAATGATTATGTGTGTACATTTATTTGAATACAGATATTATTATAACGGCACAGTCAAAAAGTGAATAAAAAGTACCGGTGGCAAAGCACAGCGTAAATAAATGCGCAATAAAAATAATAATGATATTATTTTTATTGCACATTATAATAACCATATTATTATAATAGCGTTATTAATTTATTATACGCAATTGAATACAAAACGTGACTCGCTCATTGTCATCATAAACGTGTAGAGAAATAAATATCACACAATCATCTCTATACATATATGTTAACATGTTAGATAAATGAGAACCCACAAACTGCGATAAATAATTGAATCATAAAGACAGTGTTTCTCCAAACTTTTTACTGTCTTGGGTTCATGACCCTCTAAATGAATATTCATTTTTTTAGCGACAACTAAACAGGTATTTTTACACGGTGACCCAATATTTTATAGATTTAGTGACCTTTAATAATGAATTGGTAACCCCAAAAAATTACCTCTGTGCTGAGAAAAACTGATCAAGAAAAACCTGTTTGAATCGAAATTTGCGTACATTTATTAAAAATAATAATTAAAATACATATAAATATGATTTATTAAAATTCATGAAATCTAGATGCGCACAAAATCTGATACATTTTGATTATTTTGATTATTTTATTTTATGATAGATTGACGGGCAAAAACGAAATGTATCAAATTGTAGGGTATTTATTATCAAAGTTACTGATAAAATGATAATCATTTCAATAAACCTAGACATTTTCTCTGATTATCATCTAGATATTTTTGAGTTTATTTGAATACAAAATACATGAATTAAATAAAAATATCTGTTTTTTTTTTTTTGACTAGACTTTTCTTTGAAAGGTTCGGACTAACTTCAATGGGACGCTTAAACGTAAAGTAGAGTAAATTCTCGGGTGTTATATTTTAAATTAATCTTATCCCGGAATTAATACAATTCCTCCAGAGTGGACTACACTTGATTTTTGGGTATTTCATTTCGAAAAATACATGTTTTATATACGCACCGCACGGATGAAAAAAACCGAGTTATATTGATAAGATTGAACAAAATATACATTGCAGCAGTGAAAACACTATTATCTGATCGTTTCATTGGATGACCACTGCAATAGACATAGTTTATTATTATGTTTTATTATTTGCACGCAATACCGTACACGGGCTAGGTCGCGCAGGACAGTCGGTAAAAACACCATAATAGTCGTTCGTGGTATCGTATTACACGTGCGATACTCAGTCGGTATTTTTTATTTTTTATAACGTCAATAAGTCATCGAAAAACATTACCTACGTGAGCGAATACGCGTCGCGAAATATACGAGATTAGAGCTGTACGTACGATACATCGCGTGGGCGCGCGGAGGTGACGCGAACGGATATAACATAATACGCGTGTGTATTTTTTTTTTTTTTTTATTCGGTTTTCTCGCGCTAAATTGACCGCGGAATCCTTTATAGATCCTTTTGTTTTGTTTTTACGAGATTCCGACGATGGGGATTTTTTTTTTTCAAATCGCGGAGGCTTATTTGATTGTGCACAAACGGTCGCGTTGATGGCATATAAAACTTAACTCTACGCCGTTATACGCGACGCCGACGACCGCGACGGTCCGTATAAAAAATGTCAAGTGTGATCACCGAGTCACGCGCGTACACTGCAATATCAAACGGTCTACGGCGATATGCCGTATCGAACGAGCATTGTTGTACAAAGTTTAGAAATTTTATTTTTTATTTCCAGAGGAATAAAAACGTGTATCGTCTGCACATTCCGAATTTTATTACGGTATTTCAGGACGGCACTGAGCATAACGTTATTTCTCCGTTTATATTCATGCAAATATATCATTATAACAATATTGTATTAGGTTTACCGCGGTATTTTCGTTTTATAATAATACCACTGTATAACAATATTAACAATAGCACATCAATAAACACTATTACAGTCGTTGAACGTATAATGTACACGATAATATGATTCGTTTTTCATTTGTTATTTTTTCATTTGTACATTACATTATTATTGGTATATTTGAAGTGTCCAAATACGTTGAAATATATATTTGTAGTTGTTCTTATTTAATATCATATTAAATTACATTTTAAAAAAAAAAAAAAACACCCGTGAGCAGCAGACCTACATCATTAGAGTAGAATTTTCCCTTTCATATTTTAACAAAAAATAATAAGAAACAAAAACGTAATAAACAGAACAGTGAAAAAACGAGACATTTGGAATAATATAAAAGCCATAAGGGACAAAATGATAGGGCATCTAGTATCTACAGCGCCACGATACCGACACGTAACATATTGAAGATGATAAGGTCGTATCAGAAGAGAGAGATCAAGAATGGAGTACATCAAACAAATCGTAATAGACATGGATAAGAATAGATAAGCATAGTGAACTGTGGTAAATTAATCAAACGATTTAAGATAAGACTAGATGAGAAAAAGGGAAATGTTCTTTGTAAAACGAATAGTTACCTACGATAAATAATATGTATAAGCGACTATAATATTAATACTAAACTATGCTGAATCTATACTACTACCAATCTACGATAATAATTATTTTTTTAAAAAAATGGTGAAATTTGAGCACACACATTTTTGTGGGCAGGAGTTGAACTTCGACTCCCCCCTCCACCGAACCGGACATTATACTATCGCTATGCATGCACAAAATTTCATCTCCTCTGACTTATTTGAGACGGGCTGCAGAAGTGTTCAAAGCTAAAAAAAATAACGTTCACCGTGTGGCAACGTGTTAAAATTCATATTTCAGTTTAAGCTCATTTAGTTCTGAGGCAACCGCTATAACTGCTAAAAGTGTAGGTAGCGGAAAAGAGATATGCACTTAAATATTATACAACATAAACTCGTAAATACAACGGATGCCATTGTAGGTTGCACTAATCTATACCTCCAAGGAAAATTCGAGAAACAAGAATGACCGAGTATTATGTGGAATTTGTGTAGTTTATTAAAAACTATTGTGTAGTAATTTAATTAATGTTTTCAAAACATTTTTGTCTTTTTATTACGTACGGCATTTATTTTTGCTCGTACAACTAATATAATATACAATTATTATTATAATTATTAATATTATTAGGGCGGTAAAAATTCTTGAATATTGCTCGTTCTGGTTTATATGAAAATATAAGTTTTTTTTTTTTTTTTTTGAAATTCCTCAGTGTATCACAAAGAAAGTTAACGAAAAACCGTTGACATTTACTATACAAACACATATTTTAGTTGTTTACGTCGTAATTATTGTACGAGTTATTTAAAAAATAATTATTATGGTAGTTCTTATTCACAAAACAAAAAAAAAAACAAAATGTTTAATCAACTTATTTTAATTGCGTTTAGGTTTATATTATGTATTGGATTATAAAAAGTCATTATTTTGTATGGATTTCGTTAATCGTAATAATAAGCCCAAAAACAGAATTCCGATTAAAGGCAATATCGTCCCGTAATAATAATGAATGGTCTTCGTAAAAAAAAAAAAAAAAAATTGACCTGTATCAAATAAAAATACTCAACGGTTTCTCATTTCAAAAAATATGATTTAAAAAAGAAGATAATTTCAAAATTTATCGTCAAAAATAATTTAGTTGTTAATTACTATGTATGTTATTACGGCGTTGTATTAAGTATATTAGGTAATATCGCATTTATCTTCACATATTTTGATGCAGTGGCGCACAAATCTTTCTTTTCCAAGTATAGTAAAAAAAATATTGGTACCTCCTACCCCACTTAAAACACGTATAACTCAAACCTATTAACTCTGCATTATATCAAGTTATTATTTATAACTGTCAAAATATACAATTTTAGAATTGTAGCGTAGAGAAGAATGGATTGATTTTATTACGATGTGTATTATTGCATTTATTTTTAATTTTTTTTTTTGTGTTTATAAACAACTTTTCTATCAGAAATCTTGTTCCTAAGTATCAAATGGAGCTCCTATTTGTATGGTATTTGTATATATTAAGTAGTTTTATCTACTCGTTACATTGAGGAAGTCATTTTTTTAATTTTCCAAGCAATTTGCATAATAATTGGGAAAATCGTAGGGAAAAAACGACAAATACGGCATAACGATTAAATGATTTTATATTTTTGTAACTTATGTTTTCTACCAGAAATGTAGCTCCAATAAAAAAAAAATTATATAAGATCATTTTTATTGCATTTTAAATCTTGTTTTTGGCGAAGAAAGTTATTTTTTAGTTTTTGTGTATTTTTTTTTTTGTATATTTTGATAGTTGAGCAAATCCATAAAAAATATAGAGAGAAGAGGAAAATTTGCAAAAATTTTTTTTTTGGAATTCTTGTAGAGAAGTTTAACTTTGACAGAAAAATAACGTTTGCTTTTTTTGGACACAATAATATTTTCAAAACATTTGAGCTATTTATAATAGAAATTTAATTTTGCTAGTTTTGTATTTAATTTTTATTCGTTAGGTACCCTATGAAAAAAAAAAAATTGTTAGATCAAACAGGAATACTTGAAACCGATTATATATTTTAATAACGGTTTGTCAATTCATCTCTAAGGAGAGTGACTATCATAAGAGCTTTTTCTTTCTCGGTATCTCTCACAGATGAATTTACCCACGATCACCGGCCGTGCTAGAATGTTGACAAGTTTCCTCTAAAAATGTGATACCGTTTTTTCTCCACTGTTCTTTTACCTCTAAATGAAAAAGCATTCCATCAATATTTTCCTCTAAATATTAAAATTAACTTAATGAAAATAATAACTAATACTATTTCTAATTATGAGATACATACTTCAACTTTCGATGCCACTGAAGTTAAAATAAGTTTTGAAGAACAATTTTAACTTGTAAATGGTAATAAAAAATATTTTAATACAAATTTCTTGTTAAAAAAATCTAAATTTGTATTTTGTATTTTGTATTTTAGGTTAAAATAAACTTCATTTCAACTCATTATCTACTTTTAGTTTCAATATAACATTTTCTGAAAAAAATGATCTCAACCAGAATTTAAATTCTATAGCTATACTTATGGTGATCAGACGTACTATTTTTCGTAGGAAAGTACTCTTTTCTTGTATTGTCCTATGTCCTTAACAATAGTGTTAAGTACATGAAATTGTACACTTATTTTGAAAATATTATGGACTAATATATGTTTATGATTTTATATAATTTGACGATTCATTTATATTTTAATATTTTATGGTTCGACATAATGCTTTCCAAATGTCTGCAAGTGACTGACAATGGTAGCGACAGCTAGAAAATCACTGTTTGGCGAAAAAAAAAACCTTAACATCATAACCACCAGAAACATATTAATAAAGTTTTGTATATGTTTTTTTTAAATATTTATACTTTAAGTTTACTTAAAATATAGTTGACATTATGATTTCAAATAATTAGTTTTTATAGTTTATAAAAGAAAAAATAATAATACAAGTAGAGTAATCAGATTAAACAAAAATGTATATAGATGGAGATGACTTATGGGCAAAATGGGTGGAATAGTATATAAATTGGCCAATTCAAGGGAGGGTTTTTTTTTTTATAATGAAGGACCTACATTTTAATACATACTTTTTTTGGATTTTTATATCTGGTCACCATACATACTGTATACAAATTATTAGGAGAATGACAATTAATTATTTTGGTAACGAAGAAAAATGAACAAAGGAGAAAATCGGTATCTCAATTTCGGGGAGAAATGTCCACACAGCCACCGGAAAAATCAGACCATGACAGCTATTATTATTATTTCTTACTTTGCTTTGCCTATGCCCTATATATATTGGGTTTAAATGAAATTATTCCACATTGGAATTAGGTTAAGTTATACAGAACAAATATAAATTTAATTTTCATGTTTCCCCGTTCCCATCAACACCCCTAGAAGAGTCGATAAATGCTGTACTTGACCAGTTACTTATTCATCCCAATTATTTATTTTATCTCTTTTAATCTTGATGAATGAAATACTTTCTTCTTATCGGTATCAATTAATAAAATAACCATTATTTTTTTCATTCGTAAAACCAAAGGCACTTGGAAATCAAAGAAGAAGAGGATAATTTATTTCTTTATTATAATGATAAAAATCAATTATAAGTTTTCCGTTAGAGGTTGAGTTCTGCACAAAAAAATAGTCATCTCTATAAATAAAATAAATATAAATTTAAAAAAAAAAAACCGCATGAAGACGAGGATTCATGAAAATTTCAGAATGGATGTTTCCAAAGCTAATCCATCACAAAAATATATTTTTTTCAAATTTTCCTGTGCGTAACAAAAATCTCCAAAAAAAAAGAAACGGTATCTGGTGTGTTATGAAATTGGATTAATTTAAAAAGTCACGTTTAACGAGTATATTTCGAGGAAAAAAGTACAAACACTCGTTAATATAAGTATAGATAGAGGTAGGTTGCCTTCAGAGAATATGGCGGTGCTAAACACTTTGACGGTTATTTGGTTACCTACCTATCTCGTAGTGCCACGTACACTTGACACGAAAATCGTTTAAATCTCACGAACATCATATTTAACAATATAAATAATAAAGATAAATATAATAAAAACAACATTAACTACCTTTCATAACACCTATATGTAAATAGTAATAGTCTTTTTTCATAATATGTATACACGCCGAATTATTTTGGAATTATATCTCGTCAAATGTCCAATCAGTGTAGCGTTGTAAATCGTTTAGACGTGTGTTTCTTATACGTAAAGTATAAGAAACAATTCCCCGAAGGTCGCCACGCCGATATAATCAAAATCTGACCAATTACAAAATGGCGTTAATATTTGTTCCATTATTATATTTAGGTTATCACCTCGATTACCTTATTAACAACTAAAATCGAGTAGCATTCATAGTGATTGAGCGCGATCTATATCGGCGGAACTTTTTCAGGCGTACGATTGAGCGTGCTACATAATTCTTATATTCGTATAAGTTATCGAATTTCCATAAACGGTAGTGTGCACAGAAACTACCAAATTATTTAAGATAATTGTAGATAAACTAGTTACACAGATGTATGGACGAAATTGGACCTCTTCGAAGAAACATTATAATTGTCACGCTTAATGGAGAATGGTTGCAAACAGATTCAAATTTCACCAGCTTGTTCACAGAATACTAATATTTTCGTTTGTATGCGTATGAGTTCGATATTTCAGCATGTTATATTACTACTTTTAACGCAGTTTCTCACCAGTATCACTAAATGAACGGTCTCGACTTATTAACCATAGATCAAAAATCCGGGCAGTATATCAAAATCTGAATCAATGTATACGGTAAATTAGTGGTTACGCTATTATTCAAATTAATTCAAATTTACATCCAAATTAATATATTATCACTGTTTGTTTATTAGTATCCTTTACCCAACCTAAATTTCCAAACTACTTCAACCTATTTCAAGGAACATAGTGTCCTATATTTAAATCTAAACCTCACTATGTAGGACCGGCCACCGGGCCTTCGGCCAGATCTATACATGAGCTCATGTCGGACTTTTAAATGAAAATAGACTACGAGTTGTTGTGCAAAACTTCGTCGGGTAGGTCTCAGAAGAAAAACCAAAACAAGAGAAAATTAATTTCATGCATTTCGGTTTTAAACTCGGTAATCTCTGCTAGGGAAACGCCGCGTTAGCCCATTAGGACGCTACAAGATTACAATCGTATATGTTGACTTGTATGTTCGTTTGTATTCATAGGCCTAGTAACTAGTTAATAAGTATTCTTAGTTAACATAACACGTACGGCGGTGAATTTGAATCAATGAAAAGCTCATTTATGAAACAATGTATAGTATGTCAATTTTAATCCGGGTAAACGAGTGAGATTATTTTTATTAATCGATTTTCTATATTTTCTATGGCGTTTTTATAACCAGTATATCTACAACCATAATATTTAATAACTATTCGTTTTCTATATTAAGTTCAAAATTATCAATTTAGAATGAATTTCTCCCATTGTAATGATGATTTATGTATTTTCAATTTGTGTTAATACGTTATTATCACATTGGTCGCGTTTTGGAATTAAATCGGGAAGAAGAAGAGATATTTATGTGGAGTGTGGAAAAAAACGTTTTACCTTAAGTATAGATTATATCTAACAGCGAGCCAATGTATATATATATTAGATGAAGATACTCCAAAACTCAGAGTACAGTTACAATTTTAATAATGAATTCACAATTTTAGACACAAGATAGAAATTTGACAGACATGTTTTATATAAACATTTCTAAAGAGCAGCTACAGATTTATCGACACCAAAATTAATTTAAAGTAAAATTGACTATAGAATATACATTTTAGAATAAATATATGACTTCAAAAATATTCAAGTTATTTATTTTTTAAAAAAATATAAATATTTCACGATAAAATTTTGAAGGTAATTTAAAATTTAGAAAAATATAATAGGTTATTAACTTGGCAACATCGCCTCCATTACGCACTCAGGTGTGAGCTTTTCAAAGGTCAAAATCATATTCTTTGTTGTGCCGATATCATTCTATTGTATAATCCGAAAAGATAAAACGCGCTCAATCTTACTCTACCGCCTTATAACCTATTCGGTTATCATTGCCTTCGGTCGGTTCAGCGAAATATAATAACAAGCGGTTTGCCGAACCTAGCCGAAATATATCTAGAGATTGGCATTTTTAAAATAACTTTACACTATTGGTATAGTTGAGGAAGGAGAAGTAATGGGGGAGGGGACTAAGATAAATACGAAATGTTAAAAAATCGTTCGTTGGCAAACATAATATAATATTTGGTCGCAACCAACGCCATTATTGACGTGTCTCGGAAACACTATAAACAAATGATAACCTCTTTTCTTTTTTTTTTTACTTCAAACGAATTCCTCTTGTTTATTTTCCGTCATGCATAGGGACGGCAGCAGTCTCCCGTGGTTCTACTTTCGTTTTTCTATATGCCTATAAAAATACGTAGAGATAGAATTTTCACTGATATTTTCTAAAAACAAAAATTTAAAGGTAAGTATACATGTTTAATGTTTAATTTTATAGCGGTTGTAGTGGAAGTTTAAAAATGATAAGTATACATATAATACCATACTACTCCTACAATCTAATAATATTAGGAAATATTTTAAAAGCTATTTATACACTAATGTAAAAATATAAAATAAAAATACAATATATAATAATAAAAATAGCCGATACTGTTCGGTATGCCACTGTGGAAAATTGGGGAAGTAGGATCCATAAAATTGTTTAATGTGTATCGTTAAGCAACGATATTAATGATTGTTAACGAAATAGGATACTGAGCAAAGTTTGGCTATGCATATTTTATAATGCCGTAATTTTTACGGTTATCGTCAAAATAAGATCTTAAAAATTCGTACCTTAAACCTCTTGAGGTTTTTTGATCGAATCAAAATTGTTGGTAGTTAATATTAATCGTAAAAAAGTAAATCGTGAATCATAACATACATCATAGTAAAACCTGTGCATTCCTCGCTGCGCTCAGAATCTAAAATACATTATAAACAAATAATAATGTAGTTTAATTTCGGTACTTACCAAAAATGTATATTTTGTATACTTAATATTATCATTGATGTGCGTATCTACTCTGGTTTGTCTGGGACGTTATTTAAATAAAATTCAGAAGTATGTTTGGTATTTTTAGGTCCAGCTAATCCCGACCCCTCACCCCTTGGTTAGAGAAATCGAAAATGCTCACATGGAAAATATTGTCAGGAAAATGTACATAACTATACACACTCACAAGTGTTTTTCTATATACTTTAATATCAAACAATACAATATGTGGTCCGTGATGTTTTGCAGGAGACGACAACAATGAGCATAAAAACGGATCCACCGGTACCGTCGTCCGTCCCGCACCCTACTCGGTGACGGCGGTCTGGGCGATGACGACGACGACGACGACAACGACCGCCATGATAATAACGGCGACGGCTGTACAAAGGATCTTTCTGTCGTGAATATTCGTCCTCCAGCCACTATTTACACAACAGCCGGGACCATGCGAAAGAAAACCGGGCCGAAAAATAAATAAAAATGTATATATTATATATATATATATGCGTGCGTGTGTATGTGTGTGTGTGTGTGTGTGTGTGTGTTTGTGTGTGTGTGTGTGTGTTTGTTTGTGTGTGTGTAATATAATAAATTCGTAATACGTATTATTGTAAAACGGTGTCCCGGCTGTTGTCAAATTGTACAAAAATGTAATTTTATGTTTTATATAAGTAAATTGTATTGTTATTATTATTATTATTATCATTATTGTTATCATCGCGAGTGTCGTATTATGCGCTTTTAGTTTCGTCTAAGACATTAATGTTATTGTTATATTTATACATGTGTATTTTTTTTTTCATTCTGATGGCCTCACGACTTGTAATTTGTGTGCGCTATTCAAAATAATTGTAATCACAAGCGGTTCGAGCATACGATTTTCGATATGTCAACACACTGCACCAGCTGCAGTAAAGGCGATGAGTAAAACGCCGTTGAGTGCATGGATTATATTGGTTTTCAATAATTACTGAATCAACGATATAGGGAAACCCAATCGGGCAGCTTGAAAGCCATTCGCTTAAATCATCGGTTTACCCGTTGCATCATATTTTATTTCCGATTCTGCCCCCGGCACCACGGAAAATAGTGAAAACGTACCTAATGAAAAAAATCATAACATTTTCGAAAAATCCACAGACGTCCATATTTTGCGCCGCGGGTTAGGTCATCTTGTAGTCGAGGACATAGGAGTGTAGTTTAAATAACAAGTAGGTATTTTTTGAACGGTAATCCTTTGCAAACAGCAACCGTTCTGAATAGAGCTCGGTAGACTGGTCGGGTCGGACAACACCACCTACATATTAATGTAATTTTTTTAATGGAACCCAGAAATAATATTTAAAAAGTCCAAATTTTTTTTTTTTTTTTTTAGTGTTTCAATAGAAATTAGAATTTAAAAATCCGGCTTCGTGTCTGCACGTCTATGTACCTACGTCTATTTTAAAAGTGAAACGTCACTAAAATGCGTGCTGCAGATTTTCTATAATCTTTTATTGAATGATTTGAACGTTTTGGATGAATTTTAGTTACGTACAATGTGTTAAGTAACCCACCACCGAAAACAAATTGGGTTTTTGAAACCATTATTCCGTTTAAATTCTAAAATAATGTCGTTGAAGTGGGAGTTGGAGTGGTCTACGTGTCTTGCACCGGACCGTGTTGGGATTATCTAGATATAATAACCACGTACGAAATAATCTAGATAACGGCATTAATATCTTCTATCATTTATCTATATGAAATCAAAATATTATATAATTATTTTGATTTTCTTAATTAGTTTTGGTAAATACGACTATTCAGTATTCACAAATTAGTATACCGTAAGGATTAATTTAAATATAAGATAACAGACAGATCTACAGGTACCTATACTATTTTGATTATTTAACGATGTGTTTTCAGTCTGCATTAGTTACATATCTATCTGAAATAATATTTGTATGAACTATATCTTAAGATATTTTTTTTTATTATCTTTTTATTATATCACCTACACAAATGGAAAATATCATTCATTTTTATCCAAGATTAACGTTTAGTCATGATCTCTAACTTTTATCAAGTTACAAATTTGGTTATCTTTCCCGACACTGACTTGAACCACGAAATATATTGTACACCTTCCTGGCTAACCATCATGTACTTTCAAACCGCCTCTGCAGATGATTATATTATTGTATAGTATGAGTACGTGCGCCCTTCCCGTAAAAGACTTTCGGCGTTTTTCTGGCCGGAGAAGATTGCAGAGCGTTCGGTTAATGGCTCTCGCCGGAATAAATATTATGATTTGTGGCTGGAGGTTTGCGTTGGATCGTTTACGATCTTCGGTGACGCGGGTGTGTCGACGAGGACACGGTTACACAAAGGTGTCCCACGGGGAAAAAAGGCAGTCGCACGTGTAAATTGGCGGGGGAGCGATCACGGTGGAATAGAGATAAAAAAAAAAAAAAAAATATGAAAAAAGGTAAAAATGGAAGAATCAGAAATGGCAATCGTTACGGTTTTTATTCTATATTTTTTTTTATTATTATTATTATTATTATTTTTTATTTTTTTTTTTTTGCTCCCTTTCCGTCCTTCTCGTTCTCGTGCACGCGCTCGGCCTACCGTCTGTTATAAGAACCGTCTTTTACGAGTATACGTTATTTTTTCCTTTCGTATCGAAGCGTTGTTAGCATACGAAGACGTTGTCGTTGAAAATATTGACTCAAAGGCTGTTTTCAAACACATATTCTCCCGCCCCGAAGTCACTTTTCTCGTTTGGAGTATCCGGATATAAAATAAACAAAAGCTGATTTTCGTCGGAATTGTGTTCCTTTTTCTTTTATTTTTGGTTTATTGTTATTATTATTTTTGTTTTTTTTTTTGTTTTGTTTTTTTACTTTTCTAAAGCTGTGTTATACCCCTTCAAATGTGTATATAAATCTTCCCTTAAACAAAAAATAAAAAATAACAATAAATAAGAAAAAAAAATTGTGAAATTTTAAAAACAATGCGAACGAACGAAGTATAATATTATGATTATATTTGTTCTGTAGGTATATTATATGGACGTTAACTTATCTGAGTTTCTTTGTTATTACTATTATTATTTATTCATCAGTATTCACAAGATAATAATAAATAAACCTATTAGTTCTGCATTTAATTATTTCAAAATTGGTTAAAATGGCACAACATATTATTATTAGTGTATACCTACCTACCTAGTACCCAATATTAATTTTGCTCAATGTAATTGAAAACGTTTTCATTGTACTATTATGTAATAAATTGCGTATATTTGTATGCAATTAATATGATAAACGATGGTGAACTTTTACGTTTCATAGTAAATTATTATATTGAGTTTTCGTATAAAATTATTGTTTTTCACCAAATCGTATTGAGAAGTATTTGTTTACAGTGCATAGACACAAGTTGGCGAGAAAGGAAGAATATCTGGTGGTAAAGTCGATTGGAAAAAACTTAACGAGTTAATACCGTTAAAAAGTTAATTGTTTTATTATTTAAATAAATATTACGTTAAAAATTATATTTGAACCATTGATATTAACTTATTAACATGAATTAAGTGTATTGTTTTGTAAAATTGTCATTATAATGGTGAAAATAATTAAACCTGCAATTTTTAATTTTCTGTAAATAGTGGACGATCTATATTAAACACGGGAGTTAATTCCGTGAATATTATAATATTATACTCGTTTAAATGCGGAATTTCACATAAAGTCTTGGATTTCAAAAAAAAACTTTAAAAACTATGACTCTTCAAAAAAAACGGATGTACTTCGCTCGATGGGTGAGCTACTGTAGTAGGTGAGAAGTTAGGTAGATATAGAAGGGGAACTTAATATAAATCTGTATGCAATGATTAATTATCGCCAACGAACAATAATTCTAAGAGAAAATCGGTTATACTCGATTTGAAAGGCCATAATATTTACGATTTTTTATCAAATTTTTATATTAAATTTCTTATATAGAAAAAAAAAAATGCTCCATTAAATTCAACTTTTTCTTATTGAACACTGAGTATATATAAATTATATAATTTATAATGAACCTCCTGTTACATATCAAACATTTCTATTTGGTCTAATAATTGTACCCGTAGAGTAACTTTTTTAAGAAAAAGTGCACCAGAGCAAGATTTCAGGTAGAAAAATTGCTCACAGATAAAACATTGAAATAAAAAACATCATTGCACAACCAAAACATTCCTCATTTCTTTCAGAATCTAAAAATTACTAAGTTAATAAAAAATTAAAAGTTATGAGTTAAGTCAAAATTGTCCTAACTTGTATATTCTAAGTGAAGCAAGAAATGTGTTGGTTTTATTATGGTACATATTTACTTTTTTATTTTCTGTCTGTTAACAGTTTTTCAACAAAAATGTGGAATTAATCCACAAATGCCATGAGAATTTGTTTATTCCGTTTTTAATCTGGTTGTTTTCACTATGGTCATTTTTCAAGTTGTTTTCATTTGATATGACAAAATATTCATGACGTTAACGATTTTATTACAATTTTAGATTCCGAGCGTAGCGATGGAGCTATTGGTTTTACTAAGATGTTTATATCTTTTTTTTTCTTTTTTTCTTGCAAAAATTTCGCACCAAATTTCAAGTATAGCATCTTTTCTGACAGAAAATTTTGTATTGTAAGAGTGTAGTTTTTAATTTTCTATGCACCTAGTTATTTTAATAAAATGTAGGAAAAACAGAAAAGATTATGATACAACGGGTTTATTATATTTTCAAATTTTGGTTTTTTGTTGTTATTTAACTAACAAATAATCGTAGAAACCTGAAAGATCTGACATTTTTAGAATATAATAATATTATAGCACATATATGACTTAGTGGTCACAAAAAAATATAAAAAAACTAATCGTTTTAAGTGTTTTAAGATAAACATTTTATCATAATCGTTAAAATTACGGTATTTCAAAACATGGATAACCGAACTTTGACTACGTTCAGAATCGTTTTTCATAAGCAATAACTTATCGTTTATAAAAGATATAAATTAAATCATTGTATAATTTTAAAATGTAATAGGCGCATCACACCTTGCCAATTTGCCAATTTAGCACCTACAGCAGTGGGATACCCATCAGCAAAATTAGCTCTTTTATCTTTTTAACTCGTTAATGTCCAGTCAACCTACTCTATTGTAGTGTTACATTTTTGTTTTAAAATTATTACATTTCTACCGGTTTTTGTGTTACATTGACGACACATATGTATGCATAATATATAGAAACGGCAGAAAATAAAATTACATACAAAGTATACTTAGATATAAGAAAAAATATTTGTTTGTAAAATTTAAGTTTAAATAAACTTATAAGTTTTCATTAAAATGGGTAATTACCATTTAGTTTGTAAACCAACGGCAGTTGATATCCTACCTAAATGTTTAGGTATAGAAGTAAATTCAATACAATAGTAATTGTACAACGTAAATTCTTATACTAACAATAACTTTAATATTGTATTAACATCAGTTTCAACATTGAAGACATACAAATCTTTAAATAAATTTTTGAATTGATTGTAATGCCTAAATGACATAATATGTATAATATGACCTATTTGATCGATTTAAATAACATATTAGTGTTTTGTTTTAACTGTGCGATTAAAGACAACCTTTATATAATAATGTTATTTTTAAATTTGTTTAGATTTTAGTTGTGCGTTAACACGCTTTTAAGAGTAGTGTTAAGAATTATCCCGTAACTGTTAATGCTGTTTTTTTTTTTTTTATCTTTTGAATGTTTGTGTTTCTAGAGTCAAGTGCCCTTTTTGTTCGTACCTACACAAATATCCCACTTAGGAACTACAATTTAATGGGCTATTACAATAATCGTTTAAAATTGCATTTATATACATATTAATCGCACGAAGAATGATGATACAATGTCCCCCGATTTGATTTTGTTTCTACTGACACATACGACTTCCCCGTGTCAACCGGGAGGTCGACTTGGGAATTATAATGGAATTTATACATAAATAAATACAAATTATAATATTCAAATTGACATTTCATTTCAAGAATCTAAATCAATAGGTAGCGCATTATCTTATTTTAAGAGCCATTTGAATTGTTACCGTAAAAAGCCATGTGTCAATAATAACAATACTATTATTATAAACTGTTCAATAATATTCTTAACATTTATATTAGTATACACGGTCCGTTAAAATTTCAAAAAAAAAAAAAAAAACCACTAAGCTTAATCCTTAAGCTTATCAATATGTTTACAAGTGTGTCAAGGCCCAAAGGGATATTGCCATTATCAGTGGTGTATTTTCGGAGCTGGACCCCCTTCCGGAAGAAAAATTTGGTTCAAAATCATAAATAATTTACTACGAAGGCATAGAGGGAGAAAGAGCACATTAATTTATACAGGGTGAATTTTTTATCATAACCAGGAATTATCTCTGAAAATTTTAAGTGAATTTGATTTATATTTTTTTAATCTCTGTAATAATAATTTAAGCTTTATTTTAAAACCATTTTTAATTTTTACCCTTACTTCATATATCTTAAATAAGAATATACTTTTGTTTTTCAAATAGGAACCCCCATTTTTTTGAACACAGATTCAAATAGAGCATATTTTTCTAGAAATTTCGGTAAGCAAAACATTAATATCAGATTTACCATTTATGAGTTATAACAGTTTAATGTTCAGACCGGAGAAGTAAGAAAATTTTTTTATCTATTATCATTGAAAAGTAGACACACAATTTATGGAATATAGGTAAAAATTAAAAATGGTTTTAAAATAAAGCTTAAACAATTGTACAAAGATTAAAAAATAACCAAATTATATTCACTTAAAATCTTTCGAGATAATTACTGGTTAACGATAAAAAAAAAAAATCGCCTTTTTTTAGAAACATTTTAAACCCACCATATTAAATCCATATAGTAAATTATTATAAATATTATACATACTGATATACTATGGTAGTAGAATATTAATTATGCATTTCCGTTAATGTTTGTACGTCACATATAATAATATGTATAATAAACGTCCTCAAGCGAATAACTTTGAGATCGTTTCGCGACATAAATTATCTACTAGAGTGCGCTAGTATTACCTATAGAACAGATAGCTGGTGCCATGCGATACGTTCACTGCAATAGTATTAATTTATTGTTAATACTTAATGTATACAAGCACACAATTTTTGTTAAAAAAAACCACAGTGATATCACTTACAATTATTATTATCACATTTTAATGGCAATAATGAATTAATAAAGCAGATTAAATGAACATGTGAAATTAAGAAAAAAAATAAATACAAACAGACATACTTCGCACAATGGATGAGTCACTGATGTAGATGAAAAGTTGAAAAGGTTTAATAATCGTTTAAAAAAAACAATTTTGTGTAGAGTTCGATTAAACATGTTTATAATATTTACGATTTGAAAATAATAAATTTCGTACATTTTTCTATTTCTCTCATTTATTATAAAAAAAATCTTAGAAAATCAAAAAATAACCTTTAAAAAAATATTACCCCAGTAAAATTTCATTCAAAAAAGGTATTTTACTTGGAAATCTGAGCAGAATTTTTGATAGAGAAGTTGTTCACAGGAAAAAAACCTCATTGTGTAAAACCAATACATTTCTCGCTCCACTCAAAATCTCAAAGTAAATAGGTACCTTTCCTCTTTAGTACTAAAATTTGGACTTATAAACTGACTAAAATTTCTACTTATAAATTTATTGTTTATAGAATTAAATATTTATAAAGATAATTTAAAAATCAACAAAGCCACGGATGTTCATAGGCATACTGATATAGTAATTATTATACATTACAGTAATCCATATTTTTGAAACTATTAAATTGTAGTATAAAATATGTAACTACGATTGATCAAACCAAAGACCTAACCAAACCTAACCAAAAAAATTGAAAATTTAAGGCAAAGTTTTTTAGTTTTTCTATTTATCTCTAAAACTATTCTACTCATGATAAAAAGAACGTGCAACCCTCAGCAAATATGGCATTGGGCAACATAAGTTGTTAGATATTTGTTTATATTTGTTTTATTACTGCTTCAGATTCCTCTCTTTCCGTGACAATCTCAAATCATCTCAGTCTATTTTATGTCATTTTGTTTACTAGGTACCGAATTTTGTTTACTCGTCCTTTATGTTATCCTATCTTCTATAGTCATTCCACTCGTCTACCTAAGCATTCTAAGATTATCTTCTATCCAAGTTATATTATCTGCAAAACATCATACACCAAAATACCTCCTTTCATCTGTCGTTTTCCACGTACATTTGACAAGAGGAAATTTTAAAAAGTCTTGTTTAGAACTCCCCATACTGTTTAACAGAATTTTACAATGGTAGTCGGCTTGACATAGCCCTATTTTTTGTCTCTTAACGAAAGGTGGAGATATCGTGGGATTATTTGGATCCCTTTCAACAAAAAACGAAAATTATTGGAAGTATTTTTTTTTTTGTTAATGTAAACACTTTTTCTACCAGAAATCACACTCCGATTATCAAGTATAGTACCTTTTCTGAAATTAAATTTTTGCTAGGTGGTACTTTAAAGAGGTCATATTTTGAAATTCTCTCTAGTATTCGAGATAATGAGAAAAACCTTTAGGTTAAAAAAGATTGAAAGATTAAAAATTAGGTTGCCATTGGCAACCTTTTTTTTTTAAATTGTTTGTTACATATTTAAGTTTTTAATATTTTAAATCTTTTTTAAACAACCATTGTTGTCATGGAAACGCACATTGTTGTAATCAGTTTACCATAATATGACACATAAATTGTTGACAGAGCAACACTATCAATCGAACTCCACTCAGTATGGTTTTTTCGTTAGCAATTGTTCATCGTTGCTTACAGATATACATTAAATTCCAGTTTATCCTACCTTCCCTACTTCCAAAATACAAAAGTGGCTGCACCCGCGTGCGAAGTATGTCCGTCCTTTATATTATTGATTGTCATTGAATCAAAATAGCTTTTGTACCTATTATATATTTTTTTTTACTATGGCACAGAGTCTATTTGGATAACGAATATTTATAAAATTCAACGTTCAACGTGAATTAAATATTTCGATTAGTCATGACTGACTATAAATTATAGTTCAATTAATATTTTGAATACAATTTTTGAATACATCGTCGAAATATTTCATACGTAATAAATTATCTGTCATTTTTGTTATGAGTATTATAATTACATATACGCTGATCTCGGTAAATTTTTAATTTAACCTTAAGTTATCAGATTATTCTACGGCTTCAATATGCGCAATTTATTTTATTTAAAAAATTACAAAAAAAAAAAAATAATAATAATACCTAATTATATATGATCATATAAATTATATGTGATAGACATTATTGTCACCGTAGTTATTGTGGTTTATCAGATTTGCTTGTCAATTGAATCGTTCTCAATTTTAGATGTGATAAATTTATTGTTTACAGCTATATTTCAATACCTTTATAGGTTTCTCCACTGTATAATATTTGAAAGCATTGACACCGAGGTAGAAATACTAACAGAAACACGTTGAAATCATCTAAAGATAATTTAATATGACAGTTCAATTCAGTCTAATTTTCAATGTATTCTTGCAACTGGACAATGGTAGTTCAATGACAATTCAAAAAATAACTATTGTTACCAATACGGATAAATAATGTCAAACGATCAGTCATCAAATTTTCACAAAAAAAGATTGTCACCTTGCAATTATTTGCTAGCGTATGTATTTAACGAATGAAATGAATACTATTATAAATACCTATCGAAAATATAATTTTGATTTTAGATTATTACAACGTCTTATAACATCGGGTCTTTTATGGTCAGTAGAACGAAATATTAGAATCGATAGTTAGTCTAATTAACTGTGATAATAATATTATGATTATGGACCATATCGACAGTTATTTGGAAACTGATTCATGTATACAATATAACTATGATGTATGACATTTATAATTGAGAGCACAAATTTGTTGCTGAATTTTAATTTTTTTCGTGCAATTTTTAGATTTCTGTTAATAATTGTTATTACGAATCATATTGATTATCAGTCATGCATTTATAAATTTTTATTTTGCATTGGTACTTTTTGCATATTATTATTATATTAACAAAATGATGCGTCACTACGGTGAAATGTTTCAATCGTCAGGCGATGCACCAACATAATATTTTAAATGAAATTTCCAGAAAATAATAAAATATAAAATAATAATTACTGTTTTTGATAATAAATAATAAAAACGCATTTACCGTTATCGTATGTTATAATATCAGGGTTGTGATTCGAGTTGTGCATTTTAGATTTGAGCGCAATGAGGAATGTATTGGTTTTACAATGATGTATATTTTATTTTTTTTACCAGAAATTTTGTTCCGATTTTTAAATGTAACAACTCTTCTGAAAGTTTTTTTGATTTTCAAGCGGTTTTTCTAATGATTGGGAAAACCTGGAAAAAACATAGGAAAACGGGAAAAATTTACGAAATATATAATTTACGATTATCTTTGTTGCGATAGAATTAAAAATAATCGTAAAAATTTACGGT